ATGCAGACGCTGGCGGTGCCGCCTCTCGTGGAGGATCGTGGGTTCTTTCTTCCCCTACTTCCCCATTCCCCTTCCCTCTTAATGAACTGCAAACCCTCTCCATCACTTGGGTACGGCCCCCACTCAGTAATAGTTGAATAGTATTCATAATATAGCTACCTAATCCATCACCGTAAGTCCATCTAAACCAGAATCTTTACCCTGCTCTCCCTCTCGCCTGGAGCCACCAAACGCAACGGCCTCACCACGCCGCAGGCGACCTCCATGCGCGCCGACCTCGGGCTGACTGCTTGGGGTATCGAAGAGCACGCACAGAATGCTACAGGGGCTGTAATCTGCGTAGAGTAGGGATTTATTTTAAAAGTTTGGACCCATGGGTCAGATCGCATGGCCATGTCATCTCACTCCCAAGACCTAAAAGTAAAACAACCTTAAATGCTAAGCCCTGAAGCCCAAACCCGTAATCCCAAGCCCTAGACCCAAGCCCTGCACAATGCATCCTCGATCTTCTGGGATGCAAGGCCAGACCAGCTTTCTGAGCAGCGACAGCGGCGACGTGAAGTCGGGAACCCGAGAGACTCCGATTCCGAAGCTTGCCGAAGCGACTGCGAGAGACTTTTGTGGGTTTTGTGCAGCTTTTCAAAGTTTAGGTTTTGGGTTTTTGCCATATGATCCGACGTGGGATGAACGGCTCTTGCAGGTTCTCGGTCCATGAACGAAGATTCCGGTTAAGCCCTCTGAATCTGTTGAAGCTTACACCTAGAGCCACCCTCGCCACAAGTAAACTGACATGTGCAGTTTCCAAAATCTATGGTGTAGCGGGTTCTGTTTCGGGCTTGCAGATGACCTCAACCCTAAACGCGACCGACCCGCATCTTTCACAGAAGAAAGTCATGCGACAGCGCGGTGAGGCCTAAGGCGGCTGTGGATCCGACGAGGAGACTGGTGCCTACAGGGTTGGTTTTACTATAGAAGCTTGACTAACTACCAACATTATTCTAAATATACCATAATATACCCCAAACACCTATTCTAATTATTAAGGCCCCTGCATTAGATTTCAGGTTTTAGGAGTTCGGGCAACAACGGTGAACAGAGAGTACAGCTGCACTTGCGGCTTCTCTTCCAATCGCTCCAACGTTCCGAGTTCCGCAAACTTTACAACAATATTACCCAGGAGTTGACGCGATGCTGATGTCGGGGTAATAACTACCTTTACTACCCAAGTGCGGAGACTTCGGCTGCATCCACGCATCGCAGCATTCATGCACGGCTTGTTGCGAAAGAGTGACGGAATTTATCTGAAGGGGGGGGGGACCTTTTGTCACACAAGCTACAAGCATCCGCCATAGCAAGCATGCAGCATGCATTGTGAGGGCAATTTTAGGTTTCACATTGAAACATGCAACCTGTCAGGTCTATCTGCATCGTTCTGCAATCCACAACAACTTGTGCTACCGGCCCGATGTATGAAACTTGGAGCAAGCCGTTCCGGAAAAACGGCAGGGTCAAACGTGCTCGAGCCGAGCCTGAGTCAATCTACTATAGGGGCATCTATAATTACCAATGCTATTTTGGGGGTTCCTTCTTATCAGCATGTTGTCATGGCGCCCAAAATCCCATTCTAGTTATTTAAGGCCCCTATATTACATCCTCAGTAAGGCCGTCACCCTGATCAAGCTTTCAGAACCCTTTCAGGAGCCCTGGAAGGAACCCGGCTCTTCGCATCAAAGCCTCATGATTACCTGGCCCTAAACCCTAAACACGCGTGCGGATCGGGTAGAGAAGGAGCTCAAAAGCAAGCTGCCGCAGGATGGAAGCCCCCAAAAGCGGTGCGATGAACATGAGCTGCTCGGAATGTCCTTGGGGGTACTTAGAAATATGTTTTAATTTTTGGTTATTATAATCTCCAAGAAACAGCTAAAATTATAATTTTTGCCAGGGTTCTAAGTTCCGTATACTGTAATCTAAGGACCTTGATAACTGAGAATAGGGTCTCGTGGTTCAGTATACTATGCATTCGGTTGGTGTGTATTGTAGCATGGATGACTTTGTCGTGTATTGTACTAGTTCTAAACAAAGCAAGGAACCCTAAGAGATAGCGTGGATACTTCTTCAGGCTTCACAGCCTTGGCTCAAAGATCACGCGCTACAGTCCATACGGAGGCGTAGGGGTTACAACGAGCTTTAGGCCTTTTGGGACTTCTGGGCTTTAGGTTTGGAACTTGGAGGATCAGCAAACTTAGTTAGCAAGGCGGTAAGTACCTAAATTGAAGTTTTAATTAAGCAGAGTCCCATGATCTTTCAAGTACGCCAAGATGATACACGAGCCTCAAGACACAGTTCTGTTCTTTTTCGTTTATCTAGATCACTCCATTACCACTCCTAAACTCTTGACTTTAAGCCCTGAAGCCCTTAAGCCCTAAATCCTCAGAAATCCGAAACCCTCAAAACCCTCAAAACCCTCAAAACCCTAAACCCAAAACCCTAATTATAATACGGCACCTAGTAATTAGCGTACCCCCAAAAGGGGCCATAATTTTGACAACCACCCATACCGTAGGGGTACTTAGAAATATTGTTTAATTCGTGGTTATTATAATCCCTAAGAAACAGCTAAAACTATAATTTTTGCTAGGGTTCTAAGTTCAGTATAGATACATGTTTCCCGAGGTCTGCTCAAGAGCTATGCCTCCAGCCGGAGCAGCACGGCCCTTCCGAGCAGTCCAGGCCAGACAATCCCGGTCCCGAGGTTGAGCAAGTTTTCGGTGCTCTCAAGATTTATTTGTAGATTTTTGGTATACCAAAATCGTTAAGCATATGAGCTCGAGTTGAGCAAATCTTTGGTGCTCTTAAGATTTTTTTTTGCAGATATTCCGTATACCAAGATCCTTAAGCCTCTGAGCCTTGCGGTTCCAAGGGCGAGTAGGAAATGGGGCTTTAAATTCCGACATAACTACGGATTTGAGAGTTTAGGGGTTTAGGTTTGGGGTTGAGGGTTCAGGGTTAGGCTTTGGCATTTAGGAGTGGGGTTTTTCGGTGTAGAGTTTAGAGACCCCCTCATGAAAGAGGGCCCCCAACTTGTAAAGAGGCTGTAGGTTTTAGGGCTTAGGGCCCCAACAAACCCTGAAAGTTGTGCTGCTGGGAGTTAAAGGCAAGAGCAGTTCGGCGGCGACTGTATCCTCGAGGCCGGAAGTTCCTTCCACTTGCGTCTGAGAGGGGTGCAGTTTCGGGTTCCCACAGCTTCAAAGCCCAAAAGACCCGAACTTCTGAACTGCTGAACCTGAAGCCCGAAATCCCAAGAAGACGAGGATACTACTAATAATAACCATAAATAAGAAGAATAATAACAATAACAAAATCACAATAATAACGGGAAAAGGTTGAATGTGTGCTTCGCAGAACTCGTGCTTTTGATTGGGTTCCGACAGGTTTAGACCCAAAGCTTCGACCGCTGCGTCCTTGATCTCGGGACTTGTTCGTAAGGCTTTCTGGGTTTAGGGGTTTAGACCTAGTGACTCAGTGCTTCATCAACCACGCAGGGATAAGCCGGAATTCCCTATCTAATCCAGTTTCGGAGAATTAATTCTTGTCGGCCGATAGTGAAGAAGAGTGAAGCATCTGGAAGCTTGAGCATGCAATGCCAAATCAGGCACCGTCCGAGGCTTTGGGGTTTGGGGTCAAAGGATCGGAGACCCGAACCACTCAAGCTCGTAGCCTCTCAGCCGAAGTGTTCCTTTGGCCCCCACACCTCTAACAGCCTGTAAAATAGAGGTCTGACTTGGTAGAAGCTGTTTCCCCTCGCAGTCTAAAGACCCCTCCTACTACCTTAAATCCTACAGTCGTAACCTCGAAGCCCCGATATCCAGAACCAGATGGGGCAGAGTCGCATCCTCAATGAGGAAGAATCGCAAAGAGGTACTAGTAGATAGGCTCTCGAGCCCTCAAGCCTGAACCACACCTTAAACCTGATGCCCAAATCCCGAAGCCTAGACCCCAAAACCCTGAACTATACAGAACCAAATCCTAAACCCGTAAATCCTAAACCCTAAACCCCCAAACCCCAAAACCTAAACCCCTAAACCCTGAACCCAAAACCCGAAGTTTGGGGAATCCGCCCCGAACCGACTCCTCGAAGACTTTCCCATGGCAGGCTGACAGGGGCTCGCCTGAATGAGGCCTTGGAAGAAGACTTTTACGGTTTAGGGTAGGAGGAGTTTAGGGTTTATAGGGTTCAGGGCTGACGGAGGGTTTGGGCTTCTGTCGATCGGGTTAAGGGAGGGTCGACGCGCGGCCTCACACTATATGCCACCTAGAACAGTCTTCGAGTTTTGTGGTCAGATAGGGATGGTATATGCCTTCGGTTGTAAGGCTGAAGTCCCAGGAAGAGTTCCCACAACGACCCAAGATCACGTCCCCTTCTTGTAGCCTTCAAAAACCCCTGAGCTTTCAAAAAGCGAACCCTGAACGAGCAAACCTTTACTGTAACCCCAAGATTCAAGATCCTGAAAACAATCCTGGGCCGTAGATTCTTTGTCCAAAAAGAAGAAGGCCTATACAGGTTGATGGGCGATTTTTGGATTTGACCTGCTGATCACAAGCAATCAGAATTGGACTGGGCCTGCGTTTCGAAACCCAACGCCCGAACTCCTCGTCTCACGCTTCATGCAGAACTCTTCATATCTGTGCCAGGAGTGTGCTTGCCTCTTGAGCTCTCCACCCAAACCCTTAAGGTCTCTAGAGTGTAGGGTTAAGGGAAGCTTCCCCACCCGGAAGCAAGAGCTCAACTCGCCCCAAAAAGCGGCCTTCAACCCCGAAATGCTTAAAATCCTAAGGGCCCGGCGAAGCCCCAAAACCTAAAAACCGGAAAAACTCGGAAAAAGGAAGCTCCGCCGGGGTCAATCCTGAACGCATGAGCCCCCAAGTGCTAAACCCCTACACTCCTAAGCTTTACGCCCCTACACCCAACTTCCATGGGCCCTATTCCCCAAGGCCCAAAGCCTGCCTAAACCCTAAACCCCAAAATCCTGAAGCCCTAGACCCTAAACCCTATTCCCCAAGACCCTAAACCCTAAACCCCAAAACCCTAAACCCCAAAACCCTAAACCCCAAGACCTAAACCGCCCCAGAGGTCCGGCGCGCGGAGGATGCTGCGATGTTCGAGGCCGAAAGGCGCTGGGAGGACGGGGTTTTGGGGGTAAGATTGCAGGGTTCGGGGTTTAGGGTTCAGGGTTTAGGGTTTTGGGTTTTGGGGTTTGGGATTTAGGGTTTAGGGTTCGGGGTTTAGGGGTTTGGGGCGTTTAGGGTTCAGGGGTTTGGGTGTAGGGTTTGGCTAGGAGTTTAGGGTCTTGGGTGTACTGAATACTGAATAGTATATATTCCCTTACGGTCCCTAACAAGAGCTGTGGGGAACCCTATAGGCCGTTGGCAGAGTACCATGACTCTCCACCAAAAACGTGCATGTAACATAGGTTAGGGAACTTGGCAAAGCCTCACGGAAGGGGATCAAGGTTTGGGGGTTTGAGTTGCAGAGAAGCATTGAATAAGGGACGGCCCCAGTACGGGTCTCAAGGGCTGAACCGTAAGCCGTAAGCCCCAAACCCCAAACCCGAAAACAATTAATGCCCTAAGCCCCAATCCCCAAAACAAACAAAGCCCTAAACTCCAAACCCTCACGAACACAAAACAAAACCCTACACCCAAGCCCTACAACAAAAGCAAATCCTAACTAAGCCTCGAACTCTAACAAGAATCAGAAAGAAGCCCAAACCCGAATCCCCAACCCAGCGTCGGTTGCGTTTTGAGATGCTTGGGCTCGACGTAGGCCTGTTGGTGTTGCTTTGACTTGGCTGTGCTTGGGAAGGGCCCTGCTCTCGGGCTCGAGGGCCAACATAGTAATGTGGTTGGCTTTGAGACAGAACCTGAGCCTTGCATCGCGCATAATCAATCATGAAATTAAATCAATCCAAAATTCCGTGAAGTAATCCGAAACACTCAACCTTCAATTCTCACCGAAGCCCTAAACCAAAACATCTTGATTGTACGCTCTTGACTTAGACAACTTCTCGGCTGGTGCAGGAGGAGGTTGACTCCATCCGGCGCCAAGCCATGCGCTACTCCCAAGGGGTTCGCCTCCGCTCGATCCTCAGTGAATCTGGTGAGGCAGCCTTCCCTTGCTCAGCACGCACCAGTATGAAGGCTTGCTGCCGAGATAATGGCAGTCAGCGTCATGATGATGGTGGTGGTGACGATGATGATGCTTTTGCAATTATTGCTGTGTGTTGCTGTTTTTTTGTTGTTGCGGCCTCTTTTGTTCTAGATATCGTTGCTGACCTCCTGTGCATGCAGGAAGGAAACGCACCGGATTTTCGCTGTTCGTCACGCTGGCCTCTTTCCGCGGGTGAGGTTTCTTGCGATTGGGTTGCTTCTTTCTCAAACAAACGCTCCTTTTTGCCACGTGCTTTCGTCACTTGGGATGCGTTCGGCAAAAGGCTGGCCGACATGCAGGGTTGGCTGCTCGAGGTGCAAAAGACGGGTGGCCGCCCGGGATGCAAAAATCTTGGTGACTGATGTTTACGGTTGGCTGCCGGAGATGCAAAAAGCCGGGTGGCCGATGTTGTTGCAGTTGGTTGCTCGAGCTGCAAAAACTGTGGTAGTGCATGGTAGCACCTGGTAGTACATTGGGCGCCTGATAATACGTGGTAGTGTGTGGCAGCAATTTCGCTGTAATGTTTGGCAACCGGTATAGTGCGTGGTAGTACGTGGCAGTGCGTGGTAGTGCCTGTATGGTAGTACTTGGAAGTACGGGTTAGTATGTGATAGTACATGGAAAAACGGTAGTACCAGGAAAAGTATGTAACAGAGTACCTGGTAGTGCTTGGTAGTATGCAGTAACAAGGGTAGTGAGCGGAGTACCTGGTAGTGTGTGGGTTTATTTGGCACATAGATGAAGACCCACATCCGAGAGTGGCTGCCGGAGATGCAACTTATTTTTTGCATCTCGAACGACCAACCCCCAACCTCTGCCACGGCATGGCATAACTGTATGTGGAGCGAAATAGTAAAAGTAACTAGTAAAGTAATACAGAGCCGACATGCCGGGGAGGCTGCTCGAGATGCAAAAGCATTTTGCATCTCGGGAGTTCAACTCTGGATGTCGGCATCTTTTGGCATGTTGGCAAAGCTTCAAGACTTTTGCATCTCGGGCAGCCAACCCAGCATGTCGGCCACCCGGGTTCCTCTGTCTTTTTCCGAGCAGTTTGCTCCGGGTTTTTAGAGTGTCTAGTCGCTGTCGATGGGTCAGTGTTTTGTTCTGGAAGTCTTCTCGTTGTCGGTTTATTTAGCCTCTTCTTTGTCTTTGTTGTTGTTGTTGTTGCTGCTGCTGCGGCTGTTGATGTAGATGTTGACGTCTACATTGATGAAGATATTGATGTTGACGTTGTCGTCGGCATTGTCGTGACTGTGATGGTGCCATGTTGTACTAGCTGCTGATGTTGTTCTTGTTGACGGTGGCTTGTAATTATTCATCTTGCGCCTTCCTGCTCCTTCCCCGGATTTGGGATCTTTTTCGAACGCCATTCGAGCCGTCGAGGTCCCTGATGGCATCATCAGTAAATTATCAGGGTCACTGTCCGCGTCATCATCATCATCATCATCATTGCCATCACCATCGTCATCATCATCATCATCACCATCTCCATCATCATCATCATCATCCTCATCATCTTCATCCCATCACTACCACCACCATCATCATCATTTTACCATCATCGCACTTTTTATCATGGCCGTCATTACGACCTCTATCTGGCGTTTCGGTCAGTACGCGAGAGCCCGCTGTTTTTGAATGTTTGTTCTGCTAATGTATGTATCCTTTTGGAAGATGAGTCCTTGCTTCTGGCTGCTACTACGGCAACATTGCATTAGTTGGTGCAGAACGCTGGTTTATGGTACGCATGCCTCCTCAGGCGGACCTTCTTTCTCGATGGCCGAGAGCTCAGCCGAACAGGGGGTCCACTCGAATCCGAGATCCCTCCCCAGAATCAGACGAATTGGAGTGAAAGGTCTAGGATCGATAGCCCATTTAGCCTTTTTGATAAGCTGCTCAGATGTGAAGCCTTTGGCGATCCTCCTCGCAACTTCATCGTCATCGCTAACTGTAGAGGAAGCTCGAAGAGTGTAAGGCGGAAATCTTCTGGGCTCGAGGGTTTGAAAGGACAGACGTGGACTCTAAACCTTAAAGCTTTCAAACTAGGCCGACTCCGACGAAATTCGGAACCCTGAGCCCTGCCTCTGGTCTCGTCTCCGTGGGCATCACACATTCCGTCGCCATGCACAGCGAAAGCACAGGAACGTCTTTTTGACGCAAGATGTTCCCTGGTGTGAAGTGGCACGAACTTAGCATACACGTTCCGCTGCTTCGCTGGAGAATTCGTTAAATCAAATGCTGCCATAGCCCGTACAAACTATACAATATTAGAGTACATCGTAGGTTATACTTGGTTATATTATCTCATAATCCCCACCTCCCTAGGACAACCATAAAGCCCAGGACCGAGGAGACCTCATCCTCAGGCCATCCTGATGGCTTTGAGTGGCTCCCTAGCCGGAGCGAATGCAGCCATTCAAGGCTTCGGGGTTTTGGAGGTTCATGGGTACTTCTAACTGGGGGCTGTAAGTAAGGTAACTAGACTTATAGCCCTGATTAGGGGACTTCGAGAGCAGAAGGATCGGTTTAGGGTTTCGGGTTTAGGGTTTAAGGAAAACACCTGGCAGTGCAGCTCCTTTGTTTGATGATCTTGCAGTTGATGAGAAACGGGCCCAGGAAGCCCTGGTGGTGTTGTCATAGCAAGCAGTGGCTCCCGAAGCCCTCTTCCAAGTATCTATCTATCAATCAATCTATGTATCGGTTTATCTATCTATCTATCTATCTATATATATATATATATATATTATATATATATATATATATAATATATATATATATATATATATATATATATATAAATATAAATATATATAATATACACACACACACACACGCATACATATACATACATCGGCAATCGTCCCCGGCCCAATATTGAGACCGGAACTTAAGGCCTATATATTGAGCGGTAGATGCTAAACCTCGAAGACGTCAAAGCCGATAGCCTCAATGGTCTAAACTCTCAAATCCAAAACCATATATTCTAGCGACCCTGGTGTCAATGAAACCCCGACGGGTCTTTGCCGTCTCACCCGGGAGCCGGGCCAATGGCTAGCCTCCAGACCGAACGCTCGCAGAGAAAACTTATGACAGACGGTTCGGGGGGCCTTACCTTACCAGGGCGAGTACAGGCGGGTTACTGTTGGGGTCTTTCGTTTTCGAAGGAGGGAAGGCTCTGGGGGTTGAGGTTCGGGTGTAGGTGAACTGTACATGTGGAGCACGGTAGCTGTGTATGGTCGTGCATGGCGCTGGGGTACTGCTCTCGAACTGCAGAATACGGATCATATGTTCAAGCACGCAGGTCTTGAAAGCACTGTAGGCGTTGGAACGAGGCGATGGAAGACTTTGCAGCAGGATCCAGCAGGCAGTGCTATAATATGCTATAATGCACCCCAATGCACAAAGTTTAGCTTGCCCCAGTGGCCTTCCGGACACTACGATGCCTTCTGTCTGATGTGCTGCATCGCTGGAATATATGCATCGTGTTTCAAGACCGTGGGCGTCTTTTGCAGTGTGTTACAAAGGGCTGCAAGTATGGTGATGTCTCGTCGAGGATTCGACCGCGACGTAGCGCAATGCCCTAAGGCAGAATCGCTAGTCGTAATGTAGTAAAGCTTAACCAGTTGGAGTCAGAGGTTGCAGGGTTTGATGCCTTGGTTTTATCTCGCGCAATACGGCATACGAGAGCATGGTGCCCTTTGGTTTGGTACAGTGTGAGAAATGCGCAATACTAATACAGCGTACATGAGCAGGTTGGACTGAGATTTAGGCTACCGCGGCACACATACTAGCACAAACCTAAACTTTCATATTAAGCCCTATAGTGCACCCATAGCAACCCGCACAGCAACGTTGACAGCAACATGAGATAAGCTGCCTCACCTCATCTCTCTATCAGGTCTCCTCCCCTCCTCCTCCTCCTCCTCCTCCTCCTCCTCCTCCTATTCTTGCCACTACGGCGACTGGTGCCGTCATCGTCATCTCCGTCGCCGGCATCATGACCACCGCCACCACCGCCACCACCGCCACCACTGCCGCCACCACCGCCACCACTGCCACCACCGCCACCACCGCCACCACCACCACCACCTCATCGGTACCCTCAACAGCAGCACAATCACCGCCATCGTCGCAGTCATGTTCTTGGCCACACTCCTCGAAGTTTCTAGCAGCAATGCAGCTGCTTGGAAACGCTACGCCTCCTCGCAACTGAGGACTTCATTCCGACATCTTGCCCGAAGCCCTCAGACTCAAAGCCCGCAGAACCCTATCACCTGTATGCCCGCTGAATTCTGGAATGACATGCCCACACAGAAGCCAGAAGGCTCAAACTTGGTAGGGAAGTGGAAGTGAACTTGGGAACAGCTCTGACATAAAGCCTCGAGCTCAGAACGCCGTCCTAGCGTTTCGGGTTTCGGGGTTTAGGGGCATTGGGCTTAGGGGGTTTAGGCCTCAGGGTCCAGGGTTTCAGGATAGAGGGCCTTACGGCCCGCGTTATTCAAGCATGCTCTTGCTTGGTACCTGCAGGGTCTTCATTGGGCTTGCCTGATTCATAGGGTGTAGCATTTAGGGAGGATTCGGAGCTTGAGCTGACTTGTGTCTTATTGCGATGATCCTGCCCCCCACACACTGCAGAGACTCAGGCGCTAGAGCCGTCGTGAGAGCTCTTGTGGCGGCGCTTGTGGTAAGCCTCACAGGAACGCTTGGAAGTTTAGAAGGCCGCAGGCCCATAATCAGCCCTTGGAGGCATCGGAACCTCCCGTGCGAACCGACTTACGGGATTCATTGTGTAAGGACCACCCCAAACAGGACGCCCTAATTTCAGGAAGCCCTCAGCGTCTGTTCTTTCCGCCCGAGCCAGGTACCGCCCTGATCCTCCGAGGCCTTTCTGGTGAAACACACTTTGGCATGAGCCCTGACGGGCCTAAACCTTCAAGACCTAAACCCAAAGCCTTCAAATCACAACAGGTCTTTCTGCTCGTGCCCAAGGTACGAATCATGTTGCGATTGGGGGAGCGGACTTTGCAGAGGCCCAATTACCCAGTATGCAGGGTTTAGGGATGTTGGTTGCGGTTTGGGAGGGGCATACCGGGTTTCCCTTTCTGCTGAACGATTTAGGGTTTAATAATCATGGCGTAGGGTTTCGGTTTAACCATAAACCCGTAAAGCTAGATCTTGACTTCAAAACTTGTTTGGCCTTTGGCGTGCGATTCAGAGCCGGGATTGGCACGCCAATCCCTACGATGGGACATTTGCTCTGCAAGTGCCGTGGACTCCCTAAACCCTCGCCCCAAACCCGGAGAAAAACGAGAAGTCGAACAACCAGGAACTCACTAGTGTGCCGTAGCAGCCAGTCCGTTCAGACATTTCCGTGTGTATGTGTAGAAGTAACCAGGTATTCCGGTATTTAGGTATCATTTGGGGTATTTAGAATCAGATGTAGGTAGCTATGTAAGTACACAGGTATTTAGGATTATTTAGGTGTAGGGTATGTCACCATGCAGCTAGTTATGTGTGTATGTATGCATGCAAGCGCATGACTGTATATGTGCATCTGTAGTTGTGCATACAGACGTACACTCTAAGACTCTTGCAACCCTCCCCTGCAACACTCCCCGGCTTCCGGCTTATTCTGATATTGTTCCGGGGCTATCCCGGAAAGAACGATTCTTGCAGACACTTGCATGGTCGATCTTTTGGAGACCTCTGCGCACTGTAGACTCTAACGACAGGGCCGCCACTTGCTCTGGTTTGATATTCTGTTCAACCTTCGAGGTGTCGATCGCGACCGGCTTCGGCTTGTTGTCAGAGAGAGAGAGTTGAGACCGACAGCGAGAGCGAGAGAGAGAGCGGGAGCGTGGGCTGCATGTTTTCGTTCCAAACATTCGATGACTGCTCTTGTATAGCGGGTTTTGGCTTAGCCGGGAAAGCCCGATGTAGTCACAACACAGCCCGATAGCAACGGAAAGCGCGGATTGCAGGGGGGGGGGGGGTTGCGGTATCCCCAACTAGGGCTGGGTTTGGGGTTTTGGTGTCGGGTGGGGTGGTTAAGGGGTTTTGGTGTGCAGCGAGAGGGGTGTGGGGAGGGCTGTCTGTGTGATGGGGTGGGGGTGGTTTGGGGCGCAGAACTTTCGGGCTGCAAGCGAGGTCCTTGTCACGCTGTGAGGAAGGCATGCATTCACAAAGGGGTTACTGCCGCAAACCACCTGCCGTGTCTGCGGCACGACAGTCTCTGGGTTCCAGGCAGTGCTCGCAAGGGAAACTGTACTCTTCTAACGCCATTGTCAGCCTGAGCCGGCTCTGAGCCGACAGGCCTGTAATTATCCTGTTTCCTGATAAGGCTATATGGCCCATCAATAATCCCGAGATAGTGCGATATACTGTTGATAAAGTGGTTTTGGATGGGGAGGGCTGCCGGGGAAGGTTGTAAGTCTCTTAGATATACGCGTATACATTATACGCGTGTGCCCTCACTTCACATCGCACATGTTTACAAACGACGCAAGTTTTCAGGTCTTCTGTCGTTCAGTCCCGCACATGTCACGATTGAGTCTTTGCTTGCACGCCAGGCTTAGCCGCCGCAGCACCGCGAAAGCAGTCCGTGGGCTGATTGTGGCGGTGCCCTTAGATCGAAGATGTTAACAGGTCGTGACTACCAGTGGCCTTTGGGGGAGTGGAATGAGTTTGGGCCAGCTACATGCTTGTTCTTGCAACTGGGTAATTGAGAGTCATATTTGTAGGGATTGCTATGTCATGTGCAGACCACTCTGCTTCCAAGAAACCGGACTTGCTGGAGCCACATTGTCTAATGAGGAAGTTGAACCTGTCTGCGCATGCCTACGATTTTGGAATCTGTATTGGCGAGTTTATGCTTGTGCATGTACACATGTGCATTTCAATCACACGTACATACACATGCATATTACCTACCCACCTACCTCCTACCTACCTACCTACCTCCTTTCCTGCCTGCCTACCACGCCACTCACCTACCCACCTACCCGCTACCTATCTACCTACCTGCTGCCTGCCTGCCTGCCTGCCTGCCTGCCACCTGCCTGCCCACCTACGTGCGTACAGGCGTACAGCATGCACGCAGGGGCACACATGCGAATCCAGGGTGCATAAATACTTACCAGAATGGACACCCATGTTGATAGCGCCACAAGCTCAATGACCCTCCTACATCGCTTGGACGCACATGTGGGGACGAACCTGCCTTGCCAAAGAGGTGACTTCTAGAACTCGCGATGCGGGGGTCATTATGAAGCTTTCAACGGTTCCGGCAATGAATGCATACAGTCTTGACGCCGCTACTGCTGAGCATGTCAATGATGGTCGCCGCAACATATGCTTTCATTCATTTTGCGGCTGCTGATGAGCAGAAAATGTTTTCGACGATTGTTTCGCCGTTAGTGAGGTGATGATGTTAGCGATGACGGCGATGGTCATGCTTGTAAGGATGTTGATGCTGATGAGAACGTCATTATGATGTTGACGATGATGACGACGCCGTCAGAGTTGTCACTGACCACCGAGCCGAGTGACAGCGACAACTGCAGTTGCAACCACGAGATGGGTAGTAAACTGTAGAAAAACACCTGGTGGTCGGAAGAAGCGTACACACATCATGCCAGCAGTGGTGTATGTGCTCAAGTAGTGGTCTTTGTCATGGCAACCATGCCACTCCGAGCAGCAGCGCAGATGTGGTGCAGTGCCACCGTGGTCGGTCGGTCGGTCGTTGTCGTCGTCGTCCTTGTCGTCGTCGCCGCAAGAACACTTGCTCTCAGCATAGTTCTAACATTATGAAGAAGCATCAACACTGTTTCGACCGGCATCGTCATCAGAAGCATCATCTTCATCCTAGCAAACTTAGTAATGATTATCACCACCACTCCGGAAACTGTTCTGCTTGATCCGAAGGCTTCAAGACCCAAATCCACCTTGGTCGTAACCTCGACAGGGCTCTGGGAAATTGGTAGCAATGTTTAGTGAGAGTACTGGGTTCGGCACTAGTCTAGGCCCTTGTTAAACCTATATAGGACATGCTGCATGAACATATGCATAATGTAGATGCATGTGAATGCTGAGGAGGGGTCCTAGAATCCTCATGATCTTCGGGTTGCAGTGACGTTGACTTAGACTGGATGAGTTTGCTTGATGGGAGGCCAGGCCTTGCGAGATCAATTATTTTGTGTGAGCTTTTGTCATAGACTGTTGTTGTCTGGAGCCATGGGATTGGTGAATATGATACTTCTGATTATGTAACGGGTAGACCGCGTCGGGGTTCCGCCTTCATTCAACTAGTTCGATTGTCAGGAGGGTGTTGCGCAATGTAGCTCTTTCTCGGAAGATCCCCAACTGAAATTTCTCAGGGTTTCCGGTGCGGCGCCTGATCCGTAATCCCTAAGCCCTGATCCCTAATCCCCAAAGAGCAGTCGGAAAAGAGCCTTTAACAACATGAACCCTAAACCCTAAACCCCCAAACCGCAGCCATGCCTCAAGTTCGGAAGCGGTGTGGTTAGATCATCGGATTCTCTTGCGAGCCTCTGTGCCGTGCACCCCCTCGCCGAAGGCGATGGAGGTCCCGGGGAAGACGCTTTTTTGGGGGGCATTTTTCTGAGAGGGGGGGGGGGGTAAGCAGAAGAGGAACCTTGAGGGCTGTAGTTACTGAAGCTATGAAGGCCCCTTGCATGACTTTCTTTAAGGGGTCCTTCTGGTGTTTGATCCTTTCGCTGACGCCCTGTTTTCTGAAACTCCCATGTGTTTGTGGCGTGATGAGTTGACGGGTGTAAGAATCATGAGCTCTAACCTCAGACTGCCAACCAAGATCTCGGCCCTATGCACCCTGGGACCCAAAGCCTAAACCTTGAAGCCTTGGAGCCCCTAACCCTAAGCCCTAAGCCTGTAACCTGGTGTTCTTTTGTGGCCTCCAAGAGAACTTAGAAGCAGAAAGCAAGATGTGCGAACAAGAAGCACTACTCCCTATTGGCAGCAGCAACACAGGAGGTAACCAGTAACAGCTGCACAGGGCAATAGCGACGTCGCGGTGATCAGGCCAACAGACAACGCCGGGAAAGCACTGACTGCACTGGTGGCAGGACCTTGACACTGATGATGGTAAGTCTGGTGCTGGCCACAAGCACGGTAAGGACCAAAATACAGTCAAAAGTCGAGTTTCACAGTACAAGGCCAGTACTTTCATGAGCATGTGCATTCAACACCTTGCTGGCCACACCCGAAGCCAGCAAGACTACGCATCATGCTCAGACCATTGTCTTTGATTGTGTGGTTATGCAGAGAGAACGGGTGTGAGACGAACGGTCAGCATCATACTCAGTATCATCTCCGAGAGGCACTCAGGATGACGGCATGCCTTGAGATGATAAGGGTGATGACGGTGTAGGGAAGGTGGTGATGATGATCATGGTGATGCCCCTAGTTGCATTCGCAAGAAGCGTAATCGCAATTTCTCACATCACGTGTAAGCTCTGTCAGGGTGCGCTTGATGCATTGGACTCCACCCATGGTTTCCAGCGACTGCCGGAACTTGGTGCAAGCACTTGCAAGTTTTCGGGTGTCGGGGGTCCGGAATTCTTTTTGCTTTGACTGCTCGGTTACAAGACTTTCATCCAGTTCTGCTCTCCTGACCGGTGTTCTTTTCCGGAGTGTACGAGACCCACCCCTACGATCATGCCTGCATCGCAGCCCAGGATGTGAGGACAGTAAAGCCACGGGAACCAAACATCGACAGTGACGACGTGCCGGCGATACTTTACATTACAGGTCAGCAGCCGCAGACGTCAAACACCTCGTCTCTGCAATTTCCACAGGGCCTCGATGGCATCGTAGCCGGCGAGCCATTCGAGCACCTGTCGGAAGAGTTTCAGAAGTTGCTAGATCAGCTGGTGCAACAGCACATGCGGGAGGTTTCACGGGCGGAGCTCGAGGTAGAGGCTCTGCGCCGTGAGGCAGTCGAGAGGTCCCAGAAGGCACCCTATGACCACTGCGAGGTCGGATCCGCAGTGACAGTGCGAACCATCGGCTCCAAGGGCTCTAACAGGGGCTCTCCTGTGCTGCAACCGGGGGGGTCCAAGGGAAAGCGGCGTACATCGCAAGGGGGCCATGGCCCCAGTCTGCACGCCAGCGAACTGCTGGGAGTCTGGGATGCGAAGCAGGAAGATGACACGGACCTTGAGAAGTTCTTCAAAGGCAAGTCGAAGTCCGACGTGTCCAGCAAGCTGCTGCGGAGTGAAAGTGATTCGGAAGAGTCCAAGTCCGAATCGGTTTTGGCCGCCGAATACCAGAGGAAGTCGATCATCGAGAAGATGCGTGAGTGGCTTCAGTCAAACAAATACGAGCCTTGGCGCATTTTTGGACTACAGCAGTTTGGTAAGTCGCTTCGCCTGCTGCTAGCTTACCATTTTCATTGTTCTTTCTGCAAATACGAATCATTCGTATGCGGCATCGGTCTAGTCTTGTGAGTACACGTGTGATGATTGCTGGTCAGTGTTGCGTTGAACGTGCTCCTTGCCGTGATGCTCGGCATACTCTACGCTGTGGTTGGCATTGTCATGACGAGGGTGCTGGTTGTAATGATTGTGCTTGTTCCAGCTATCTAAAGCTGCGCCATGGAAGTACGAACCTGCTTCTCGTGCGAAGCTTGGCGCCGGAACCTCATCCAGCCGAAAAGTTTCTCATGGGCCTGGTTCCCCAAAATTCCAACTGCTAAATTTCACCTCTCTATTACCCTACACTATACTTTGCTATCCTAACAACAATTGCTACACAACCAGGTGCAGCACCGACAGGAGAGAAAATGAACGGACGGCTTGGCATGCTTAGTTTGCAGATGATGATGACAACAGCGCTCGCACGAACTCCATGGCCCAATCTTTAGCACCTCGGATTCCCTCCGAAACGAAACAACCCCAAGTCAGTCTTTTGACCTGGCAAGCTACAGGGTCTACAAAGCTCTTCAAGTTTGCCAGCGCAGACAATGGCAACCCCTGACAGCTGACTAATGAACACCCTTTGAAGAGTTTCATCTCTGCGCTCCATTCCGCACCGAGTGAGGGGCTGTTGTCAAACTACAAGATTCAAGAAATGATGGACACTCGTCTCGGCTCTACATTCGACTCGTTTTTCCGGAGCCCTTCTCAAAAAAATCACGCATGGTCGACGTCCTACATCATAAGGCCTGGACCGCATCCACATAGTTCCAAGGAGATGATCATGGCAGGCATCCTACTGCTCAACGTCTTGTGGATGGCCTTCGAACTTCAGGTGGGAGACCTCCACCGCTTCGTCCGAACGCTAAACTCCGGGAGGTTTGGCAGTAGAGTTTAGGGCTGTCATGTTCGCCGTTGTGGCTTCGCAAAATTATTACGAAAAAGCAACGCATCGCGATGTGATCCAACCAAAATCACCAACGTGCGCTATTGACAAGATCGGGCATCTCGGTAGAAGGTTTCCCATAACTTCGGAATTTTGTTGTGGTTTCTCATCGTACAGTGCTAGTGTAGGGATTGTAGAAGGGAAGCCCCCTTGTGCGGAGTGCCCTACAACACATTGCCTGGGGTCCACAAAACGCATCCCGTCACGAATCGTTCGGATTTCAGGCTCAGGGGTTTAGGCTTTGGCTTCAGGTCTACCGTAAATCCTGAAAGCCGAATACCCTCATGCCCGCCTCAATCCCCAAACCAGAATACCCTACTGCCCTGCTCGCTGAACCCTAGATCCTAAAGCCTCAAACCCCCAAGCCTCCACCCTGCCGAATTCCATCGGAGGTGCATGGCTCGAAGTCTGGGCTGCTCAGCGAGAGATTTAGGGGTTTAGGGTTCAGGGGTTCAGAGTTTGCGGGGCAGTCTGCAGCTTCCCCTTGCTGAGTTGAAGGTGTAGATCCTTTAGGGGCTTTAAAGGGTCCGTGGTGTCTAGTTGAGGCGAGGGGGTGGGAGCTTCAGTTCCGCCGCCTGCAGAAGTCAAGAGTTTATGTGGGCGTTCAGGCTGTCGGGTTTCGGGTTTAGGGTTCTGATGTGTAGCTTTAGGGCCTATAAGGTTTTGGGGTGTAGGATTTTTCGGGCTTTGTTGACGCTTACGTCCTTGCCACCTCTCTTGAAGTTTGCTGCTGCGGATTTGGCTTTCGTCAGCTTCGAAGTCGGACGCCTGAACATATTGAAAAGGGTTTAGGGTTTACTATTGTCTCCCTAGGATTTGTTTTATTTTTGCTCATATAAAACCCAAGAGAAGATTACACACAAAATGTTTATTATGGTTCTAAGGGGGGTATAGTTTAGGGTGTTGGGGTTTAGGGGTTTTCACAAGCCCCTACAGCCCAGAAAGCTTAAACAGCTTAGACTCTCAAGCCTACGGCCCTAACGACCTACTAGCCTAACAGCTCTAACATAGGGGCCTTGATTTTTACCTATACTATTTGGTGTGGGGGGGGGGGTTGCTTAGTATAGCTATAGTATATTATACCCCAAAACCCCTGTTCCAACTCTGAAAGGCCCCTATAATAACACCCTGAACCTTGCTCGGAGACTGGCATGGAAAAGTCTGCTTCATCGGGTTCTTGTTCAGGAACTTATGCTAAGTTACCATAATAAGGAAAGCATATTATCTACTATAGATCCCTATTATGGTCCTAACCGAAATATATACCCTAAACGGGAACCATCTTATGTACTATAGATCCCTCTTATGGTCCTAAACCCTAAACCCTAAACCTTAACAACGAAACGGGCTTTGCTGTCCTGGCGTGTGCGCCTCTCGGAGACCTTCGGGCGTCCGCAGAAAAGGAGCTCAAAAAAAAACAACTTAACAAGAACCCTAAACCCTAAACCCTAAACCCCGAGGTTTCTCATCGGCGTCTCCGATGCGCCCATGGTCCCCGCTGAGGCGATGCCGGCATGGGATCAAGTCTTCCTCATTGGGGACATGATGCTCAGCCATTTTTAGGGGTCTAGTGATCTGTTTCTCCTGGCTTACGGTTCAGGGTGTTTGGTTGCTTTCGACCCTTTTTAGGGCGTATGTTGTTGTACTCGGCCCTTTCTTTTTAGGGTTTAGTTGTTTATTTTCGGCCACTTTTTGGGGTTTAGTTGTTTGTTGTCCTGCGGGCTTCCGACTTAGGGTTTAGGGTATTGGTGCTGGGATGATTCGCCCGCCTTTTTGTTCTGGGGTTTTCGGCTCATCCACTACATTAGCCCAGTGCTGGTGCAAGTGCAGGGTTTGGGGTGTATGCTTAAGGTGTATGATGTAGAGTGTCGAGTAATCTTTCGGAAGGAGACCGACATCGCGGCGCTAGGCCGTCAGGGTGTGCTACTTTGCAATGCCCTGTTTTCCTGCAGACTTTAGAGCAGAATGCAACGACTCAGTATCGAGACTCGTGCGATCAGGATCGCGGCGTAGGGTCATTGCGGGCAGCCCCCAAATCCAATGTGGCTTCGAGAAAGAAGGCATATGCAGCCCTCGACTTGTATTTCCGAAGCGGTGTAATATGGGGGCCTTATTAATGAATTACCTATACTATTTTGTGTTAGAATTGTAGTATAACGGGCCCCCACGCCCTATTCTGATTATTTCGGCTCCTATATCAAGCTCCCCGGTCAACTTAGGACCTTCGCGGCTGTTTTCGCCCTCGACGTTTGCGTCCGCATCCTGATCCTGCGCTTGAAGTTTTGGACGGTCTGGATGAACTACATCGATGTCGCTGTGAGTGCTGCTCGGATGATAGAATCGCTGCATGCGGTGCCTGCTTTGGTTTGAAGACACACAGACATAGCGCCCGTTTCACACATCATATTGCATGCTGCATGATGGTGATGGCGCCGCGGGCGGTTGCCATGAACAGGATGATGACGATGCTGATGTTGATGATCATGATGTTGATGTTGATGATGATGATGATGATGATGCTGACTATGACGACGACAGTGGCAATGACGATGACGATGACAATGGTTATCGCAATGACGATGATGACCATGACAATGACGATGTCGACGACATGAGGTTAAGGTCAAGGTTGACGGTAAGAGGATGACGAAGATGAAGGTTACAGGCATGAAGAGCTTTGTTGATTTTGAGTTTGATAGTATCTGATAGCGATGGTGGTGAAGACGGTCGAGGGTCATGTGATGCAGAGGATGAAGATAGAAGATACAGCTGGACACTTCGCGAGCTAAGGCTACGTCACTCATCGAAATCAGCTTTTCCCATTTGCTTCGGCTGCCTGTTAGTCCGGTCTTATTCCGGCTCTTGCGCATCGGAAAGTTGGCACGAGCCATCCGGATGGTCACTATGAGCTGCCCAGACTGAATATGAGCGTGTTCGCGTGCGTGTGCGCGTGTGCGTGCACGCCTGGGTTCGCGTGCGCGTGCATGTGTGTGCATTTGCGCGTCGCGTGCGCGTGCGTGTTCGGGCGTGTGTGCGTGCGCATGCGGTCGTGTGTGCGTTCGTGCGCGTCTTTCTGCGTGTGTGTGTGTGTGTGTGTGTGTGTGTGTGTTTCTGGGATTTCGTGTTTGTCGAAGTCACGGCTATGGGCTCAGGGTTCAGGGTGGATTGTGTAGGCTGTTGGGGGATGGAGATCTAGTCCTGCCGAAGATGTCGGAAAAGAGCGGAAGGTTTGTACGATTGCAGTGGCAGGGACATCAACAAAGAGGCGGCTGGATAGGATTTCTTTCGCGGAACTGTGCCTAACTTCGTTGGTAAAGAAGTGCCGTCTGGTCATAGTAGGAGAAGTAGCAGCAAAAGCAGCAGCTCGCAGGAAAGTGGTAGTCGTAGTCGAATTGTAGTTGTCGTGGCAGTGGGAAGGATAGTCGTAGTGGGTGCCAATGGTAGTGGTAGATGTGCCCATGTCCGCTGCAGCTGGAGCAATCCAAAAATTATTGAAGTCCGACCAATGATAAGAACACATATTGGCATGATGCCAGCTGGACCGGGATTCAGGTTTTCCCAAAGCAGCGGAATGTTCTCTGAAGCGGACCTCTGCACCATTCCTCTGTACACTGCACCCTGCTGCCAGGGAAGTCCGACTGCTTAGAACTGACGGAAGCCTTTTCGTGAAATTCTGCACAGCTGAGGCAATGTCCTGGCTTCGCTGCAGCTGCTTATCAAGTGTCTTGCTCTCATGAGGGCTTTTCGCTTCGTAGTCTCTCCGCGGGCACATATTGAAGTTAGACTAGAAGAAGTCAGGGTTCAGGTTTCTGCCTTGTGATGAAGTTGTGGTTTATGAATAGGAACCCCAAGCCCTTAACCCCAAACCCTTTTTCCCTCATGTTGTGAGATTCTGAGGGATTTGCATGGCCTGGTCTCCCAACAAAAGTGCTCAGTTCCTGCGGGAGATTCAGTTGCAGCCAACCCGATGTTCGTTAGCCGTCGCCGGGCTCAGGGCTTCGGGTTTGGTGATTTCTTGTTCAGGGGCTTAGGCTTTTAGGGTCTCTTTTTGAAGGGTTTTGCGCTTGGGGTTCAGGTTGGGTTTCAGGAAGACCAACTCCGTTGCTGCAGAAAATGAACAGCCTGAGGTGCCTCGGCGCCTCCATGAACCTTGCTGGCACTTGAAACCACTATACCAACGCTTACTTTCCGTAATTCATGAATTAAGTTTTGGTGCGGTGTATAAACCCTAAACCCTCCCAAAGTTTGGAGTCAACTTTTTGCTAAGCCATTGGGTTCATTGATGCGTGACTTGCAAGGCTGACGAGCAGACTTCGGAATACAAAAACGTCGGCACTGGGTCTCTGTTTCTCCCTCCTTCCCTACCTCCCTCCCCACATATATGTATATCATGTGTGTATGTATGTAGGTGGGTAGGTATGTATACACACACACATATATATGAGAAAGCGTACACATAGATGGGAAACGGTTTTTATAGGAGTGCTAACAGCAACAGCGCCCCAGAAAGCTAAGCCCTATCGCGAAACGTCGACTAACATAGCATCCAACACAGTTCTTTGGGGTTCCTCGACATAACCATGCCACAATATACCGGCAAGCACATGAAGGTGGGCCGCAGCACCTCTGATGCTTGGACCTCAGCAGCTACAGCATTCTACTGAGGTCGCAGTCTGTTGCCTTTCTGCTGAGGTGATCAGGAAACTGTTGGCTCTGGAGCCAGACGTGCTGGGCTCGCTGCCGCTGTATGCCTTCAAGGACCGCTACCTGGTGCCAATCCTTTCTTCCGCGAGCGAACCTTAAACACCTGGTGGTGCTGAAGGATCCGTGCTTCCAAAAGCGCACAGTGGCAGATGTGGTCAAAGCGCGCGAGGCCTTTCTTTTGAGTTCTGTTGCGAATAGTCTTTCTGCTTTCTTCGTAATTTTCTGAAGTATTTCTCCAGGATGGCTATCGGCTCGCCCTCCCGGAGACCTGCAGCCAGTGCTGCTTGGGCCGCGAGCTTGGCAGCCTGTACAAGGTTGACTTCGCCAAGCTCGGCCCGGAGTTTTACAGCTTTTAAGCCCATGGAGCTGGTGAAGATTGTCCCTGGAGACCGTTCCAAGGCTGCAGCTATGGCAGCTATGTGGACGGTGTTCTTTGCCCTTGATATAACTGCAGGGTTTCTTTCTCCAGTCGTGTAAGGCTACTCAACCACGCTCGTCGGTGTGTTGGGCAGGGAGGATTGCAGCGCCTACTACTCCCAGAACAGGCTGGAGTGCTGGGCAGGGGGGGCAACAGCGTCTACTAAGTCTCTTAAGTTTACTACTCCCAGAACAGGCTGGAGGTGTCGGCCACTGCCGGCTGGCTTCTAAGTGGATACAGTCTGATGCAAGAGGCTGGGGTGGGACATGCCTTGAATAGTCAGGTGCCCCATGAATAGCTGCGAGCAATCTTTGCTTCTGCCAGGCCTACGTCCGGATGCCCTTGCTGGTGACACCCAGCGAGCGGCATTCCGTGACTGGCTTTACCGTCACGCTCTTGCCTAGCGAAGCCAGCACCAATGAGGCGTGCGGAGTGTGAAGTTTGCTTGGGGGATTGCAGTGTCCCTGCAAAAAAAGTTTCCGTGGGTTACACGTAACAGAGGCATACTTGAATATCGTTCGCGCCTTTGTTCCTGTACCCTAAAACTGTACTCTTGCGCGCAGCGAGCCCTGATGCAAGATGAACGTCAATTTCTTGGACGGGCAGATGTTGATCGGCGTCGGCGTTGCAGAAAGGCAAGGTTCGGTTTTTCACGAGCTTTTCTGGAGTCACGCGGCTCTGGCAGGTTGGGTCTCTGGGTACGTGGCGAGCGCTTTTATGATCCGGCCCAGATCCGCGCCGTGTTGCCATATTGGGGCAGCCAGGCCAGGCGTGCCGTATGTCAGCAACATGTGTCACTCTGCTGCGCTACGAAGCATTTCAGAGCGATGCTGTTGGGCCAGATGCTGCGGAGACGCCGCCGGAGATGCTGTTGGTCCGGAGCCCTGGCATTTCCTGCACGAGTTACAGCAATCAATTTCTTGTGAAAGGTCAAGGGCATGATGGGCATCGGCGCCCAGATGGGGCAGAACGAGATCCTCGTCCCTAAGAAGTGCGCCAAGCTGCAGAAGGTTCGGCGCCCTTGCTTGGATTTGGGAACTTGCTTAGGTGTTTCGCGTCTAACTTGTTCATTGGGACAGGCCGCTGCGCCCGATGTCAAGGTTGTCATTGACAAGATGCAGCACGTGAGTGGAGCGAGGAAGCCTCCAGGCAGGATTGGGGACTAGGTGCTTCAGTGGGTTTCTCGGGTACTTTGGGCGTTGGGCGCGCTTATGTGGCGTGCGTGTTGCGCGGGAGGTGCAATGTGTAGCTCGGCATCATGGTTTTGCAGCTTGCAGGAAGATAGAAGGGCGGGGTAAAGTTTGCTGCCAGGCCTCTCAGCGTCTTTGTGGGCGACCTTGAACATGCGGTCAGAGCTCATACCTACCAGCCCGGAACACGTGTCTGCACGCTTGGGCCTAAGTCAGCGTTGTCGCAGTAGAGCTATTGTTTCAAAGCGTGGGATTTGCAGGTTGCGAGGGTCAGTGACAGTTCACAGTTCGTGGGGCTGCAAAGGTGCTTCCGCTGCCAGCCTTTTGGAGGAGATTCTGACATCCTGCCGTCAACAGACGCAAACGGTCCTGCGCAAAGCCAGCCTTGGCCAGCAGGACTGGGCTCTCTCCAAAATTCAGGTGCCCCTTAAGTTGCACATTGTTGTGCTATTTTCTCACCCAGACTTCTTGACAATTATTCAAGGAATTTCTTACGTTGCGCGTACTACCTTCGTCTTAGACCAGTGCCTGCCACTTGCTTGGGCGATGCATTTGCGCGGGTTTACTGCAAAGTATAGAGATGCAGCTGGATCCAACGATGCGGAAAGTAGTAGATGTGATGAAAACGAATGAAAGTGCAATTGTTTGTGTGCGTGCATTTTGCCTTCCTCCGAGTGCTATGGCAAGTCGCAACGTCGCACTATGTGGTTTGCAAGGGCTCTTGTGATGATTTGCTGCTCGCGAAAACCAGAGTGGCGTGCTGCGTTTATGTTGGTCAGGGAGGACATGTGTGTCAGCGCAAGTCCAGTGGACCGCGAGGAGTGTGTCAGCCTGCCGCGGGTGCCAGCGTCGACCATCGACGTCACCATTGTGCCTGATGCATCGTGGCCGAAATTTCCCAGAATTTTTTCGCGTGCCTGCAACATGTGCAGCCTCTTATCGCAACGGTTGAAACCCCTCTGCGAGAACTTCTCGAGCAAGGTGCCCATTCCCGATTGCAGAATCAAAGGATCTTACTACTGTGCTAGGGTTGTGTGCGTCGGCCATTGGTGATTTTGTTCTTACACGTGCAGGTTGCGACGAGGAGATCCTTGCCCTGAAGAATGGCACCCGGGCCTCCGCCGACGCATGCGTCAAGTCCCTCGTCTGGCGCGGCGAGAAGGTCCACCAGAAGCCGTCACTCATGTGGCCATGTCCTCAGGTTCAAGCATGCTGTGTCACCTTTGGTTTGCAGTGTGTCTTATTGCGCTTGCAGAAAATCACTGTGAACCTGCAGACGCAGTGAGCCACCAGTGTTGCAGCCTAAGGGACGACGTTGCAGCCAGAGTCAAAGCGCTCTGTGCCTTCGACTTTGACCTGGGCGCGGACAAGTGCATCGTCACAGACGGCGTGAATTTGATCACCGGTAAGATGGCGGCCGCTTTTAAGCATTAGTTCCTTTGTTTGTTCGTGGTTACGTCAGTCCCCTTGCCTGCCTAATGTCTTCAGCGAGTGCCCGTGCTGAATTTCTTTTCCTTCAAGGTGTGGCGCTATCCTTGCCACAGCCCTCGGGACATGTGCGTTCTTGAGGCTGGATTGATAAAATTTCTGTTGGGCTGGTGCACGCAATGCGTGTCTTGATGTCCCTGGTTTTGAGGGCGTGGAGCCGCCCAGCGATTACTCGGGCCCATTGCCACGCAACTCCATTCTCCTCAGCCGCAAGGGCTTGCTGAACACAGCAATGGCTGGCGGTGGCTCGTCTGGTTCAAGTCAACTGATTGACGGTGCCGCCTTGCTCTGGTCAGGCCCAGTGCAGAGCACAAGTCTTGTCTGAGGTGATATCGATGGAGATGACAACGAGCTCACGAAGCAAAAGAAGCTCGTTGAGTTCTTGGAGCTCACCCAGCCATACGTTGATGCCTACAAATGGGAGGACCGATTCGTGAGCTGTGTGAAGTTGAGCTTCGTCTGTAGTGTGGCCTGAGTTCCACCTTTTCTATGCTCGCAGGCGCTCTCAGTCAAGGCCTTGACCGGCCTCAACCCTTACGAGACCGAGTGGCCGATTTGCGCAGACCGTTGCCTTTTGTCTGGTTTGGAAGGTCAGCCTGTGCTAAAAGCTTGTATGCTGCCGTAGCTCTATCAAAGCGCCAGCTGCGTAAGCCAAGGTGCCTCTTTCGTGGAGTTTTGCGCGCAGCAGGTCACGCGGAGTGTCAAGGGCATTGTCGCCGCTTGGCAGCGAACTGTCCTTCTTGTTTGGGCTTGTCCCTGGGTTGTTGATGACTTTGGCAATGATTTTTTTTTGAAATGTGTTTTTTGGTTTTCCTTCCGCCGTTGGGTGCTGAGAAACTAGAACATTGCAGGCAAACATGAGCGGCCGTGCAACGGCAATCGCCCTGGAGAGCAAGAACGACAAGGACTTGGAAGTGGCCTTGATTTTCACGGTCCTGGCGCATGCTGTGGCTGGGTGTGAAAAGGTTGTTGAATTTGTGTTCTAGAAGCCACATGCGAGACTGCTTGTGCAGCAGGATTTTAGCCAATGCCCTTGGTGTTGGGGGTTGTCCAGGTGATGGACGCGCACAAGAGGTACAGGTGCGAGGACTTCATTGATAACGCGAAATACTTCATCAAGGCCCTGAGGGTGAAGGAGAAAGTGCAGGTTGCCGCCGTTCAAGCCGTTCCACGCTAAGCTTGGGATTTTTGCGTCCATGCTTGAGCTTCAAACAAGACGTGCCTGGAAGCAGCATACAGTTAAGGCTGAGCAGATGTTTTGCGGGTTCAATGTCGGCGGCGTCATCAAGGCTGAAGAGGAGGCCGAGAAGCTGCTTGCTTGCGGGTTGCATGTTACATCGATTAATCTCAAACCCTATCCACAAATCATGTCTGTTGCCCTGTCTTGCTTAGTAGCAGAGTAGCGCTTGACCAGTGGCTTCCAAGGAAGGACGCTGCGAGGGAATCACACTCGGCATGGTGTGGTTCCGTGGCCAGTCCATCACCCTTGGGACCTGCGCGGCCGATGAAGTCCTTCGCGTATTGGATGCCCCGCGCCCGAGGCCAATCTGAATTTTCCATGTTTCAGCTAGCGGTCATCGTGCTCTTGAACTTTATTACATGCTGCCTCGGCTTCAGCAGCTGCAGGGCTGGCCCCCACTGCATGTTGGACGAGCTTGCCTATATGCTCTTGGCGAAGTCCAACATGGCCCTGGACAAGTGGGTTGGACACGAACAAGATCTGAAGGCTGTGCGAGCTTCATGTTTAACTGGAACTTTAGTGTGGTCTGAGCCTGGGCGTGACAGTGCGTTTGACAGCGCATGTGGTTCAACCGAGGCCCTGGAAAACAATAAGCGGCGCCTCGTAACCGACACCATTGCGTCGCTGCGAAGGACTGCGCACCTTTCATGCTTGATCCTGTCTCTGCGCGTGCTGGTGCCGACTTCAGGAAGCCCTTCTACTGAGATCCGGACAGCCAGCCCGCCGCGCCCAACTCCGAAAACCATGTCTAAGGCAGAAGAGAATCTTAAATTCTTGATTGCTTGAATTGGCGCGATTGAATGACTAGGGCCTTAGTAACCTGTGAATGAGGTCTGATACTTGTGTTCTGTTTGTAAACTGATTGCGGGCGAAATCCCCTTTACCCGAAATTTCTTCAGCCCCGGGTTGCGAAATTCAAGTCTTGCTTGTTTACTGTCTACAAGCTATCTATCCTTGATAACCGTAACTGGGAGACGTTGGGTGGCCTATCCTGAAGTCGAAATACTTCTTTGAAAACGATTCCTTCCAATTGCCGACAGATAGGTAGGGCCATCTCCCATGATTTAGTATTTGAAAAATCTATTTTGAGATCATAAAAATAGAATTTAAACGCAATGAGATATCAAAAGATCAAATTCATGTTTTGCAATTCTTTTGGATCGAAATTCTTCTATAAATAAAAAGGATTCTGCTCTATCTTTTGATAAAAATCATAGATCCGAAAAGAAAAGAAATCTAGATTAAGATATCCAAGAATGGTGATCGAATTCATTAGTAATCTTCTTCATATTGTTTCGATTTATAAAAATTTCATAGCACGAAAGATCTATTAATTCGAAAAAATCTATATTTATCTAAATTTCAATGATTCAGAATTTGGAAAATCTATTTTGAGATCATTAGAATATTTTTTAAATATAATGAGATATCAAAAGATCAAGATCATATTTGGCAATTCTTTTTGATCGAAATTCTTCTATAAATAAAAAAGATTCTGCTCTATCTTTTGATAAAAATCATAGATCCAAAAAGAAAAGAAACCTAGATTAAGATATCCAAGAATGATGTTCAAATTCATTATCAATCTTCTTCGTTTTTTCGTTGATATCAAAAATTTCATTCCACGAAAGATCTATTAATTTGAACAAAATCTATATGTATCTAAATTGCAATGATTTAGAATTTGAAAAATCTTTTTTGAAATCATAAAATAGAATTTAAACGCAATGAGATATCAAAAGATCAAATTCATGTTTTGCAATTCTTTTGGATCGAAATTCTCCTATAAATAAAAAGGGTTCTGCTCTATCTTTTGATAAAAATCATAGATCCAAGAAGAAAAGAAATCTAGATTAAGATATCCAAGAATGATGATCGAATTCATTAGTAATCTTCTGCATATTTTTCCGATTTAGAAAATTTCATAGCACGAAAGATCTATTAATTCGAAAAAATATATCTGAAGTGCAATGATTTAGAATTTGAAAAATCTATTTTGAGATCATAAAAATAGAATTAAAATGCAATGAGATATCAAAAGATCAAATTCATATTTTGCAGTTCTTTTTGATCGAAATTCTTCTATCAATTATCTATACTTCGAACATCACCACCCTTAGCTCTTCGTCGTTCCAGGGCAACATCATAGTACCAACGACAATGTGGAGCATGTATCAGCAGTGAAACTCGCTCTACACAATGATACGCTGCGATTGGGCGCAATCAGGATGCTCTGTGGTCGGGCACTGCAGGGATGCTCTGCGGTTGGGCACTACTTGGCGGTTAGGCGCTACTTGGCGGTTAGGCACTGCAGGGAGATTCGGCGGTTGGGCACTGCAGGGATACTCTGCGGTTGGGCGCTGCAGGGATACTCGGCGGTTGGGCGCTGCGGATACACTGCGGTTGGGCACTGCAATCAGTCTCCGGGCGGGCGAGGACAACATAGGCTTTAAAATCTAACAACCCCTCTGTGAGGGTGGGGAATAATAATATCGTTAGTTTTTCGAATTGTTGGACGGGCTTTGCCCAGGCATGAGCTGCCGAAAAAATCTCAACCCCCAGGCTAAAGCAAACATGTGGTGTAGGGGCACATGTTCTCAAGCCTTGCCACCGCCCATCGCAAGCCTCAGCACACGCACGCGTCTGCAGGCAAACACAAATCCTTCGCAATCATCACGGTGGTCACTGATATGTCACAAAGTTTGCCAACTGATCTGAAAACCCTTGTTGACCTCGGCACGTTCCTGTTCGTCGTTCGGTCGAAGGGGCTTGCAACAATGGACAGCATGACAATGTAAACATGTGCTGAGGACTTGCAAGAAACCTATGCTTCAACTTTTGGAAAATTACATGTACACGAAGGCTTCAAGTAGCGATGTCTGCAGCGTCCGAGCATGTTGCTTTCTCTCTCTCTCTATCTCGCGCGCTTTGTTCAATTGAATATGCCTGCTGGCTGCGGAAGTAAGGCAGGCGAGTGAACACATGCTGCACCATCCAGCCCTAACTGAAACGTGATTTCCATATTCAAGTCCAACTCCTAAGCACACAACCTAGCACTAAGATAAATACACAACCAATTTTATGTGCGCCCTGCTCCCCCCCCGCACTGGTCGCTGACTCAACGTGATAGTGATAACTGCCTGCACTGATTCGTGCACTGCTGGGATACTTGGCGGTTAAGCACTGCAGGGATACTCTGCATGTTGGCACTGAAGGGATGCTTGGGGTTGGGCACTGCAGGGATACTGGGGGAGTTGGGCACTGCAGGGATTCTTGGGGATTGGGCACTGCACGGATTCTTGGGGATTGGGCAGTGCAGGGATACTTGGGGGTTGGGCACTGCAGGGATACTTGGGGGTTGGGCACTGCAGGGATACTTGGGAGTTGGGCACTGCAGACCCTACTCTAACTGCTAAAGCAGGTATTCCACCCCAGAGGGGTATCGTTCTTCAGACAAGAAGAGTTCGCTTTTTTTTGGTCAGACCAGGAATATGCTCTTTTGGAGCTTCTGCTTGCTGACCTTCGTCCAATGCGTCTTCGGCATGATCGTGAGCACCTGGGAAGCAGAACGCCTTGCTGATGTCGCGTGATTTTCAAGGGTTCAGGGACCCTTATAAGCCACCCTTGAGGGAATTAAGGGGGGTTTGGGGTCTGGGGGTTCAGGCTAGGTTCAGTGAGGGAACCAAAGGTTGGGTTGCTGGGACTTCTAGGGCATTTTTTTTGTTTTCGACGTTTTAGGGTTTACAGTCCAGGGTTTGCTCATGCCGGCGAGCTGTTCAAGATGACTGGAGCTTTGGCTCGAGGCTCGAGGCCTTAATTCCCATAGCCCTGAACCCTAAATCCTAAACTCCTTAAACCCAAACTCCAAACTACCAAAGCCCTAAGCCTGAGGGCCCTAAATCCAAAAGCACGAAACCTCAAACGCCCGATGCCCTAAACCCTACTCAGCCTAAAGTGCAGACTCCGGAAGCCTAGGAACTGGGCTACTTGGATCAGGGGACCTAATTCGTCAGGCGATAACTATCTTAAGTGGAGTTATGACTACTTCTAACTATACTAACCTTGTTTATACTCGTTGCAAAGTTACTCGGCCCCAAGATCCTTCAAGTATACCCAGTCCCGCTATGGATAGGTACCTCAAAACAACATTCGGATTTTCAGGCCCCCTGCATCAGGTTGTAGGATTGAAGCACCTCTTCCACCTTTCCGCGTTAATGTGGGTTTCATAAGGGTTTACAGGAATCTATAAGTGGTTTCATAACGGTTTGGTCAGGGTCTTACAAGAGTATATTGCTTTCCATTCGGTTTTGTTGAGGTATGTCATGGTATGTCTGCAAAAGAACTAGAAATTATGAGCGGACATTAAACCATGCACCTCAGGTACCCTGTGCCGCGACTTCATCGTGGATGAAACCTACGACCACGTGTTTAGGTCTTCTGTTTATCGTGCAGCGGCAGCAGCCTGGAACTAGTTTTTTTGTTAATGCATGTTGTTGGGGATTTGGGGTAAAGGGAGTCTCATGGACTCGGAGGTTTGAGGATACATTGAGAGTTATTGGGCATAGGACATGCCGTTTGTTGGGTTGGAGCTGTGAAGCTTTTCTAGGGTGGCTTCGGATGCTTCTGCTCGCCAGGTTACTACGGCACCTTCACGCGCACGTTTCTCACCATGTTTGAGATCTTGTTCGCAAATTGGAGTCCACCTGCGCGAGTGCTCGTGGAGAACTTCAGCAACTCGCCAAAAGGCAGGAGAACCGTAACCCGTAAAGCCATACGAAACCTGCAACGCTGTACGGTCCTGAGCCCAGCCTGAACCTCATCCTTGAGCACTTCATTCGGTCACAAGCATGTTTTCCATGGATTCAGGATGGTTCAGGGCCCAGCTGATCTAATAGTCTATCGGACTTGCGACAGCAACTGAGGCGAGTGGTTTTCGATTTTCTTTCTCATCTACAGGTGCGTTCTGGGGTTCGCCGTGCTGCTTGGACGATGTTCAGAAGTATCTGTCCTGTCGGTTCCATCCCGGTGATGAAGCTACTTTGGCTGTGTTGAACTTCAACTCTAGCCTGGACACTAGACCCTGAGTTCTGAACAACAAATCCAGAGTCCCTTGATGGTGAAGTCTAACCCACAGCCGAAAACCTAAACCCGAACCACATCCCAAGCCTGACAAGCCCCGAACCTGAAGCGCTGTAGAGGCTGAATGTCGTCAATGCGGTTTTCGTGCAGCAGACGATGAAGACGGCCAGCTCAGATGAAGATCTTGCTTTCAAGCAGAAGGAGAAAGATGTGCTCCCGGCAGAAAGGGGTTCAGACTTGAGGATTTGGGGTTTTCAGGGTGTTTGGCGGTTTCGGGAAATTCGGTGGTATTGGGTACATGGGTTTCGGAGATTAATTCGTGTTTGGGGGATCTCAAGCCGTGCATGCAGAGAGCTTGTAGGGTATACACTTGTGTGTACTACCGAACAGACTATTTTGCGTTGCAACTTGCGTCTCAAGGTCACCAGCATAAAAGCTATGTCGACGGTTCAAGGTTTAGGGCGTATCTGCTCCCGACATCCTGTTTTAATTCTGGCAACCTCTAATCAGTTACGGCAGTCGATGTTTCTCGCCATCGAAGGTGGCCATGTATACTCGCAAAGTCAAGAAGCTCTTCCAGACGATCGATGTCTCGGGAGATGGCACTATCAACATCGAAGAGTTTGCCAAGCTGGTTCAGTCACCGAAGATGAAGTTCTGGATGAGTCAATTGGAGTGTCTTAGCTCGAACAAGCCATTCGCGCACCAGGGTCTGCTTTGCTGTGTCATGCTTGGACTGCGTCGCTAAGTATTGCTGTTTTTTACCCTCCTCTGAACCACCAGGCTGGAGTACCACGACTTGCTCAGCCTTTTTGAATTTCTGGACAACGGTGATGGAGTTGCCAAGCTGCACTAAGTGCCAATGTGACTCCTAGCCATGTTAACTTGGCAGACGGCCATGCTGCGTTGAGTGCCAATGCTTGGAGATCAGCTGCTATGCTCCATGACAGCCAAGGAGATTACTCTGATGGAGTTTATTGAAGGTGGGAAGCCCGGGGTTCAGCATTTGCCACGCTTTCGATTTAAGATGTGGTATTTAGGCTCAGTAGCTGAGTAGGCAACCTGTAACCGTTTGGGCTTTACATGATGTACCACAATTGGAAAGGTTATTCTTCTTTGGGCTATGGTACGCAGCCCCTAGGTAGGATACTTACGAATGTACGAGCTAACCAGCCCCCGACCCCGAGCCGTAAAGCCGGAGCGTAAACGCCTTACGCAGTAAATAAACCCTAGAATCAAACAGGACTAGACTGCTGCAATTTTGGGGTACATTATGGTATGCTCCCCTCATAAGTGGTTTATATACGGAGGAATAAGCCTTTAGTGGGGTTGCCCTTGCTTGAAGAGCATGAAGCAACTAAATCTGGCTCAAGGCTTCGCAGGTGAGGATCCCATTTTTGCATCTTGGTCAGGGGGTAGAAGATTGCGGGCGGAGCAGTCAGCATTTATCTTACCTTTGGTTAGTAGGGAATGGAGGAACGGGGCACAATTATAACTACTACGGTGGATGGAGGAAATCTTGCACCACCTACACACCTTGTTTCGAGTACACATCCAAGCAACAACCCCGCGCCCCCTTCTTAACATTGACGACAGACCTCTTGGGGCGGTGCAAGATTTATGTCATTGGAACGATTTTGTAAATCCCCGTGTTCATAGCAATGTTAAGAAGGGGGCGCGGGGTGAAGCTAAATAACGCATCTTAAAAGTGGTGCAAGATTTCCTCCATCCACAGTATCACTACCATTCTTCCATTCCCTACTAACCAAAGGTAAGATTATATCCTCTCATACTCCCTGTGCAGTTATACTGTATTATGCAAAGCCTTGATCTGATCGTGGAGACACCTGTTCCAGTGTCTCTGTGTCTGAGGGTTGAGCGCGCTGGGCAGCATCACAGACTCAACATGTTGCACAGCTGCTTGTGATTATCCTTCCAAATGCACCCCAGTCGCGCAATTCTTCGGACTCTTGTACTACACCCCTGACCCTGAACACCGTCCTCTTCAAGCCGTCTCCTCGAAACCTTAAGCTTAAACTTCCTAAGCCCGGGACCCTAACCGCCAAACCCCCAAACCCCTAATCCAACCCTAAACCCGCAAAAAACAAAGCCCTACACTCTAAACCACTAAGCCAAACTCTAAACCCTTGTGAATTTCGTTTCTTTTCAAGGCCTGCATACTGTGAACGACATGCTTGTGGTGTAGAGTGTCTGCAAGGTCATGATGCATGTATCTTGACTTTGAATGTGCCTTAGGCTCGGATCGAAAAAGGGTGCCGTGGCAATGATCCTTTTCCAAGCCCCTGAACCCTGGACCCGTAAATCCCGAAACCCTAAGCCATAGGAGCGTCACGCCTGCGTGGCGGCGCGAAAGCCTTGGATGTGTGGCGATTGGAGACGAAGTTGGAGGCGGAAGTGTTTGGGGCAAGGGATTATGGGGTTTAGGGAGCGGCCAAGGAGGTCAAATTACACCAAGTCGCTCAACCCTCAACCCTTAGCCCTCAACCCTCAACTAAACCCTCAACTCTACACCCTAAGCCTGAACCGTAAACTCTCAACCTTAAACTCTAGATCCTCAACCCTAAACCCGAAACCTTGAAGGCAAAAGTTGAGACGTTCCAGCCCATAAGACGCATCCAACAAGACACTGAAAATCCCCTAGGGTTCCTCCGAGCGCTTGGGCTTTAGGGTTTAGGGTTGAGGGGTCAGGATAAGAGAACCTGAAACCTTGTTCTGGTTTTGAAGGCTTCGAAGTGGGCCTCAGGCCTCAAGCCCTAGTATTGGAACTGTTGAGCTCCAGAAAGCCCCATAATCGCGTTGAAGAGACGGGGCCCATGAACCGATCCCGAAACTTCTGGAACTCTTGAGATGGTTTTGGTGTGTTTAGGGGCTTAGGGTTAGGGTGTAGGGCTCTCCTAGAGCATAGAGCAGGAAGATCCCAAACCCCTAAACCCTAACACCAAACCTTGCAATTCCCAATTCCTAGTCCTTGACCCTTAAACCCTTGACACTAACCCCTAAAACCCCTAAACCCAAAACCCAAAACCCAAAACCCTAACCCGTAAAACCCCTGAAACCCTTTTAACCCTGGAGAAGCTTGCAGGTGCTGTTCGAGGAGGTGCTTGGTTCCATCCGAGTGGGCTCCCCTAGCTTCATGATCAACGGCGATGGCGAGGATCAGCCCCAGGTCAAGGGGCCCCGAAACCCTGAACCCTAAACCGCAAGGGGCCCGAAACCCTAAACCTCAAACCCTTCAAGCTTAGGATTTTTGGGGGTTTGTAGTTCAGAGTGTCCAAGGATTTCAAGGCCCAAAAGCCATTTAGTCATGGAGCCTTCTGCTGAATATGATTCAGGATTTAGAGCCCAAGAGTCTTCAAGCGAGCGGCGGGGTATCACCGACATCTGCGGCACCACAGACTGCCCTACCCCACCAGAATTCCATTAGCATCGACGAATCCCCAAATGCGAAGCCCAAACCGCCGGAAGCCACACCGCCTGAAACCAGGTCGTAAACACTGTCTCCAACAACGTGCAGCAGGCCTTTGAGAAGTCTAAGCATCTGCTCTGCAGACAGAGCTTGCTGCTTCTCATCCTCCTTCGGCCTCCAATGCTAATCCCTAAACTGAAACCCCAAACCTCAAGGAATGCCGGAAGCCCAGAGCATAACCCTACACCCGAACTGCTCTCGTCTGGTTTCCTTTTTCCATAAGCTTTCCTCCTGCTTTCGGACAAGCCCCTGCCACATCCCTCTTGTGTATCACAGAAGCCTCGGAGCTCCTTGTTATCTTAGGGGTACTTAGAAATAGTTTTTAGTTTTTGGTTATTATAATCCCTAAGACACAGCTAAAATTGAAATTTTTGCTAGGGTTCTAAGTTCAGTATAGGTAGAGTTATCACAAAATGCACCACCAACCTTATTCAGGCCCCAACAGTATGCTGCACAGACGTGATCAATGATGCGTGTTCTCTACCCTCTAGCTATGCGTCTAGACTTCTGTGTATACAAAGATAGGTACGAACAGGTCAGTTAAGAGTAGTTCTGCACACAACAGCTGCCATGCATACAACGGTGCACGTACCATTCGTGAATATACAATATGTCTATATGCATACTGAATATACAATATGTCTATATGCATACACACACATGTGTATATATATATATATAGATATGCACATGTGTAGACAAGTACAGAGTCATAGCTTGACAACCGGAGGAAGCGACAAGCGCACATCTGGCCAGTATAAACGAGCGCACGGACGCATTCTGTCTCTGTGTGTCTGTGTCCGTGTGTCTGAGCTACGTGCGTAACTCTGTAGGTACGTAGGTAGGTCTATGTGCGTAGGCTTGTACGTATGCACGCATGCATGCAAGAAGGCATGTATGCACATATGCGCGCATGCATATATGCATGTATGAATGTATGCATGCATGCATGTATGCATGTATGCATGTAGGCACGCAGGCATGTAGGCATGTATGTGCTGAGATCAACGTTTATTCATTTACCTATGGATGTACGTGTCCGCGTGCCTATGTGCCTTTGTCTCTATGTATCTATGTGTATACGCGTCTTGGCGTCTATGTGTCCATTTATCTACCTGTCTGTGTATCTGCATATGTGTGTATGTACCTGGCTACGCATGCATCTTATGAGTTTGAGTCTCTATGTATCTGCGAGTCATGTGTATGGCTTGCCTCGGTGTCTCTCACTCTGTTCGTTTTTGCATTTACCTCAAAACCCTATTCAAATCATTTCCGCCCCTATATGCTGGTTTTGGTTTTTGGGATTGTATTGTCAGCGAGTCCGCAACTCAGCTGCTTCTTTCGGGGTCAAGGGTGAAGGGGTTCACGGATTGAACGGGAAGAAAGGTCGTGATTTCTCTACGCATACCGCATACAATTGATCCGCTTGGAATTGGTACGGAAGCTTCGATCCTCAACATGCTACCGAGAGTCGGGAAGAATGACAGGTGAGGCATAAGTCCTATAAGAGACTAGAAGCTAGCAGCTAGAATGGTTACGCTTTATGGTTTAGGGAAGCCCTAAACCCTAAACCGAGTTTAGGGTTTTAGGCATCGAACACGTCAGCTCTCAGGTTTCGGCATATCAGGAGTACAGCACAAGGCCGCCTGAACAGCGAGAAGTCCTTGGCGGCGGATTAAGGTTTAGGGTGTAGGGTATGGGGTTTTGGGTTTAGGGGTTCATGGGTAGTTATAAGTGGGGTGATAAGTCCCTTAATATGGGTTATAGTTACAGCTACTCTACTTATCACTACCCATGAACCTCCAAGTAGGGCCTGTAGGGGGTTTGGGGTTATAGAAGGTTTAGGGGGGTGTGGGTTTGGGGTTTCTGGTTTAAGAACCGGGCTGCTGCAACTATCAGTTTGGCAGCAATCGTTGTCATTTTCCGCACTTTGGAGTGCTGGCTTGACTGGCATCGGCACGATATCTAGTTCCTTGTATGTTGGGATATGTTTCACGTCGCAGAATATGCGGTCACTGTAGTGGTCTGGCCTATCCTTAAGACTTTTCACATAACCACACTAGCCACTAGCCACTAGCCACGCAAGCAGAGATAGTCATACTCATGATGGAGCGATGACACTACCCGACAAAAGCACTGACCGCATTCGCAGAGTGCCTGTGAAGACAGGCATTCAGAGGACCGATCCGCGCTCTTCAAATTCTTTGACCTGTGGACGCCTAGCGGAGCTAGGGTTCGAAGGTCCCTTCCGACAGCGAATGGTGATTCGCAGCTGAAAATCAGCCCAAACTCAAACCTTAGGCGTACTTAGGAATAATTTTCAATTTTTGGTTATTATAATCCCTAAGAAACAGCTAGAATTACAATTTTGCTAGGGTTCTAAGTTCAGTATAATAGAAACCCCAATGCCCGACTTCCGTAACTGCGCGCAGATTCCGCACATAGCAGGCGGGCTTTTGCAAGGATCATGCTGGCATCTGCAAAACTACCCAAACCCTAAGCCCGAAACCATAAAAACCTAAACCCTAAAACCGTGTCCTTGCTCCATCTCCGATCTCAGTATCCCAAATACTTACCTTTGATTAGGGGAATGGAGGAATCGGGTACAAGTATAACTACTATTACTACCATTCTTCCATTCCCTACTAAACAAAGGTACTTGCCGGGATGCAACGGGTCGGCCGCGAGTGCCACATCAGTCAGTGTAGACCGAAAAGGGTTTAGGGTTTAGAGACCCAGGGTTAAGGATTTAGGGTTAAGGGTTTAGGGTTGAGGGTTTCGGTTTTAGGATGTAGGGGCTTAGTATCAGGGTTTAGGTCTAGTAAACCACCTATTAGTTCTATTTCTGAATGGTCGGATCCGTTTACAACCCTTGTGAAGAGAGCAGGGATTGCCAAACAGTGTCCACGTTGGGCGTCTTTTCCACTCACATCTAAGCACCAAGCCCTGAACCCTAAACCCGAAGCCCTAAACCCTAAACCCTCTCAGACATTAGCTCCAGATCTCCTGCGGCTTTGCAACCCCGAGAACATCTGATAGAAACCATTATGAAGCCAAGAGAGAGTATAAAGCCCGGGAAGTCTTACAGATGCCAGTAGAAAGCAACAAGACAGCATCAAGCCTTTGAACTCTTACAGAAGCCATTAGCAAGCCACAAGACAGGATAAAGCCACCAGCCCGAAGGGTCGAGAAGTCCTTCTACCCTGAAGATTGGGCCCGACAGTCCGTAACGTTTCTCCCAGGCCACGACGCACCAGGCATCCAGTCGGATGGTTCGGGGATTAGAGCCATGAGGGCTTCAGGGTTTACAGTCCCCTAAGGGTCCCATGTACCCAAATAGTGTTTACTGTGGCCTTCAAAGACTCCCTAAAATGGTACTGTGGGCCCGAAGTACATACCATCTGGGTACATGGACCCTGAGGGGTTTAGGGTTCAGCGGTTCCGGGCTTAGGGTTTTGGGTTCGGTGGACCGGACCCTCGCTGCACTCCAAGCGAGTCGGGGGCGGAGTCAGTTAGGAGCATCAGATCTTGGGGGCCTTGGTGCTTGGGTTTACGGGTTTAGGGTTTAGGGTTTGCTTGAGTAGAGGTTTTGTTTCGGGATTCGGGGATTGTTGGTTACCTATGCCCAGAGGCCTATGGGGCTGGAATAGGGTTTAGGAGGTATTACCTAGGTTTATCAGGTGTGCAGTGTCCAGTAGATCATAGTCATGAATGCTCCTGTACTAAACTGTTCCTAATTACACCCCAAGCTCTTTAGCCCGGCTCCGGGAACGTCACCCTCAGAATTAGAATAGGGGAGGCCATTCTTCAAAGTTGCTTGGGGCTGTTTTTTTCCTTGTCATTCCTAGTTGTTACAATACAAACTCGAGACGGCTTCATCACACCTCTTCTTGGCATTCTTGTGGGATGTAGGGTTGAGGCTTTCCGCTTTGGTTCAGGCTTTAACTCCAAATTCTCAGTTCTTCAACTCCAGGCCCACCGACCGCGTAAGCAGGCTCTCTTGAAGTAACAGCCAGGAAAAGTGAAAAAGGTCTTCAAGAAAGCTTGCAGCGAGCCCCAGAACGTTGGAACAGGTGTTTAGCATGGTTAGTGCTAGGATCCCTTGTGCTGTACCTTAAGGGCATGAGGATTATAATGTTCCAACTTCATGTTTTCTACTATTAGTTCCCAAACCGCCGAACCCGAAGAACCCACACCCAACAGGCCATTCCGACGTTGCAGCCGCCCCCGGTCTTCGAGGACCCAGGCACACCGACAGAGAACTGTTTGGTTCTCGGCTGTCGGGTTTAGGGGTTTACGGGGTTATGTAGGGTGGAGGGCTTCCGGTTCAGGGGTTTAGGGTTCAGAGGTTCAGGTTGGACTTCGGGGCTTTAGGAGTTTAGGATTGAATTGAGGGTTTGGGGGAACCTGCAGTCTCATCACAAGATAGTCTCGTGAGAGGGCCGCATACTTGTACCAGAAGATTAGTCCCTGGGAGGGTTTCCGAAACTTCGGGGTGCCTTATTTTGGGGTCCTTGTAATAAGGATCCCACCATGTAGGGTACTAACATAGGGTCCCCAAGTTTCATATTAGTACCATGGGTTCCGTAGGCAGGCGATTTCACATGGTTCAGTTGGCAGAAGCTACTGTAGGGCTTACATAATTAACTATACTGCAGTGTAGGGGTTCCTTTAAGGGGGACTAAGGGCTGCTATCAGGTTTCTATATTAGGGCTAAATAATTACCGATACTATTTTGGGGGTTCCCTATTATAATTAGAGAGTTGTAATTACAGTATAATGGGCCCCAAAAACCTATTCTAGTTATTAAGGCCCCCTATATCACAGTCTGCCAAGTAAGCCTCAGACCGTGTGCGATAACAGTGTACGGCACAGTGTACGGCATTTGAGCATAGATTGGCAAAGGGTGTGCTAAGACGGTGCGGGGTAAAACGAGATTGCTTCTCGCTGCTTTGGAAAGCTTTTTTCCACACACCGAAAAGCCTTGCATGGAACGTTCGGATACCTTGCACGAATAGCTTCGTGCTTAACGTGTAGAACGGCAGTGGATCAGTGAACCTAAAGCCTTATCCACATCCCTACAGCAAGCCAGCTACTATCTGGTCTTTTTTTGCCCCTGAACTCTTAACTCCAAGCCGTAAACGCTAAACCCTAAACCTATGCAGTCATGAAAATACATAAATAAAGTCTACCGTGACCAAACTCCGAAGAATCCCTCCAGCCCAAACCCCGAGCCTTGTCCTCCAAAGCTTATGCAAGCTCGAGGGAGAGGGAGGTTCATTCGAAGAGGTCGGCGGAAGGACTTCAGCCTTGCTCAGATGTTCGGTTTTCGAGAAACCATTCCGCGAGGAATTGGGGGTTTAGGGGCTTGCAGGTCTGGGGTTCGGAGTTTATGGCGAGAGTTTATATCGAGTAATTTGGGTCCACGCAACGTTCCAGTGATGGATCTAATCTAGTGGCCCGCGTTTTCGACGCGAACCCCTTACTTGTAATGCCAGTGCAGACCCCGAGCACTGGAAGCATTTGGCAGTCGGAGACCTGCGTCTCCAAGAGCCGTCCCAGGAGCTAATATAATGTAATAGAATGCAATAAAATGGAATATGGCACAATATCGGATAACATAACATAATGGAACAGAAAATCAGATCACATCATATCATACCATACCATATCATACCATATCAGAACAAGTCATATCGTGAAATATACCCTAATATAACATACTTTAGTACAACAACATGTACATATATATGTATATATAGAGACCCATATACATAGAGATATGACCAAGGACCAAGACACTATGAGGCCAAGAAGCTCACACTGGCACCGGAAGCACCAGTCCCACCCTGCAATTTGTGCGGGACTGTGGCGGGAGCACGACAACGGTGGGAAGACTAATCGCACGGCACTTGTGGCACGAGCACAGTATCGAAATTCGTCACTTTTGAACCTCTTGGAACGAAGATTTCGCGACCACTCGGGGAGGCTCTGTGCCAGGACTTCAGCGAATTCAATGGGTTTCGAGCCAAATATGCAGGACGCTGAAAGAACATGATTCTATTGGAAAATCTGCACCGCATCGCAGTGTGAGCCAAATCTCTTGCTCCAGTCATCAAGGCCCCCCATATTACAAAACCATTGAGATAAGTAACCCTTATAGAACCTTGGAGAAGATCCACAAAGGGACCCTATTCTAGTCATCCAAGGGCCCTCGTAAGTTGAAAAAACTCTGCACCCCTAACCCTAAACTTTAGATACACCGTTTGCCCCTATTCTAATCATCCTGACCAGGCAAGACTGGAGCTTCGCGGAGCAACTGGGAAGAGTGCGGATCTTAGATATGGGTTTTGCTTGGGGTCGGGCGCGGGGTTTGGGGTTTAGGATTGGCACTTCGGGTTTTGGTTTTGGATTTCGGGGTCTCGGGTTTGGAGTTGCTTGGAAGTTTCTAGAGTTCTTGAGCTCCATAATCTATTTTTGGGATGTAGTATTCGGGATTCAGGATTTTGGCAGAAAGACGCACGGGAATTCCTTCAAACATTGGCTTGTGCGCACCAGCGCCCGACTCCGATCTCAGGTTGGTCAAGAACCCAGTGCTTCGAGGTTTTGCTGGGGGTGAGGGGGGGTGGGGGATACTTTTTCAACAGGACTTTGATCACTGTCAGAAGGACACCTCCAACTGATGAATACAAAGCTTCTTGTGAACCCTACAAACCCGCAGCCCCAGACCTTTTGCTCTGAGCCTTTGTACAACCTAAGAACTGGTAATCAGATCCCGCAAAGTCTGTGAATCTAGTTCGACCCCATTATCCCGCGAACCCTCTGTCTTGGAACGAGTCAGGCCCTCATATTGCACTCTAGTACGCCTACATGCTGTGATGCCTCAAACCTTTAACCCCAGAACCGAAGCCGCAAATCCTCATCCCCTGAAAGCTCTAGACCGAAATTCCTAAACCCTGGCTTTACTTTACCACGAAACTCGAAACCTAGGCCATAAAAGTCTAAAGCCACAAACCCTATCCAGAATTTAGGTGGATGGTCAACCTGCGTGGCGAAGACGTTGTGGGCTGAGATGCTGGATTTAGGAAAGAGAGACAGGGGTACAGGGCTACAGGTTGGGAGTTGTGAGTACACTCTGTTCTATTGAGGCTAAGCCTGTTCAAGGCTTCCAGTATCTTAAGGTTTGGGTTTTTGGGGCTTCGGGTTGGGCGTCAGGGTTTAAAGAGCAAAAGAGCAACTGGGAGGCACAGTCCCGCCCTAGCCAGAATCCTAGGCCTGAAAACCACCGACAGTTGCGTTGGGCGTTTAGGCTGGGGCTTTAGGTTTTGGGTAAGCCGAAATCCTAAGGCCTAACACTTAAAGCCTAAACCCTAAAGCTCCACTGTTACACCTGGCACGGCTCAGGCGTGGCTGGCCGGTCCTCGCGACCTCTCCTGGCCTCTCGGATGCTTTCAGTTGGGTTGCCTTTGCATACTTGGAGGTTCATGGGTAGTTATATATTTGTGGAATGATAAGTAGGGTAACTGCCATTGTAACCCATACTACGGGACTTATCCCCACTGATGACTGCCCGACTGCCCATGAACCTCCAAGTAGGGTCCCCAAGAGGACATAAGCATAAGCACTTTACAAGAGTATCGCCTTCGCTAGCGGCCCTATTCTAAGGTGTACTGTTTGGGGGGGGGGGGGGGGTTGCGGCTTGGGGGTGTGACAGGTCTAGGGGTTCATGAAGGGGCTTTGGGGGCCCGAAGCCGTAAACCCTTAAACCAAAAGCTGGGGTGTTTAGAAGAACAACAGTGAGCTAGCCTTGTAAGCCCCTGAAAGTAACAATTACTTATAGACTTATGGAGGCCTCTTAAAGTTCTCGACTTCACCCAGCAGCTTCGGAGACCCTCCATGGGCCGTTCCTTGCAGGTACACCGGCCAGCCGCCTGTGCCGTCGACTCAGCCGGTTTTGCCGAAACCATAGTAGGCCTGGAGTCTAGAGTCAGGTAAAGAGATTCGCGAGCGAAGCAGCGGTTTCTTGCAGGACAGAGGAGTCATGGCTCTGCGTTGCAGCCACAGCCCTAAACCCTAAACCCTAAACCCAAAGCATTGACCCAAATGTCCGCTAATGGCCTTCAGACGCGTCTGGGAGCCCCTTCAGAGCCTCCAGAAGCGAAGCTGGATGCATCTGAAGCACCTTCAGAGAGCTCTGAATCAAACGCTTCCCGGGATGTCTTCAACCCATTTTGGGAGACTTACATTCAGATCTTGGCGTCGATGCAACCCACGCGGCCGGAAATCGTCCGAGGGATTCCGGTGTGCCAAGCTCTGCAGCACACACCACGCATGTGGGCCCGTGGAGATCTCGACGCTCTCCATGTGTACAGCCGGGCGACGCTGGAGCTCGACGAGTTTTGGTCCCACAGCTGGCGCACGCCAGGGTGGCTGAAGTACATCAGCATACTTGTCTTGCACAACAGTTTCCCTGCATTTGTCGTGGGTACACTCCTTGCCTCTGCATCCTTCGCGCTTTGTGCTGCTGATATCCTTCCGATGTGGTCTAGTGATAGGTTTGAAGCCACCGGATGGAGCGTCCTCACGGGTACTTTGAGCTACTACTTGACTTTGCTGCTTTGGCGCAGAGGGAAATTGGCTTTCCTCGACGTTGCGTGCATCAATCAGGTTGATGACCAGCTGAAGACTGAGGGCTTGGTGAGTATGGGTGCTATACTGAAGCGCTCCAAGTCGCTTCTGGTACTTTGGGATTCCTCTTACACCTCTAGGCTATGGTGCATGTTTGCAGCTTGGTACTGGTAGCCCTTTACTGCCACTTTATGTCCTCAAAAGCTGTTGTGTTGAGTTTTTGGGTATTCAGCAAACTAAGCATCAAGCTTTTTGCTAAGAGCCGCTGAGGAAATGGCTGCATTCCTACATAGCAAGGGTCCGACTGCAGACGAACGGCGGCACCTCGTCGTCTGCCCGGTGTTTGTCGGTCCGACATTATTGCTAGGGAACCTCGGTTTGAGCTTGCTCCTGCTAGCCGTCGAAGTTACGCAGCTGCCAATAGTGCCTTGGGGTGCCATGATCATATGTGGTCTGTTCTTCCCTTGCTTCACAGTGCTGGCATATGTGGTGCTGGAGCATTGTCGCAGCATAGATGTGGTGCAGAAACAAGTCCGCTGCTTCACCATTCAGCAAGCTTTATGTCACTGCTGTTCTTCCGGCCACATCGACCCTTACACAGGTGAGCCCTCGATGTGTGACCGAAGCATTCTTATTCGATGCATATCATCTTGGTTTGGCTCCCCCGAGCAGTTCGAGTCCCTGGTGCGGCACCATGTGATGACAATATTGGTGCACCAGCTTGCGAATAACGTTTTCTCATACTGGCGTGTTGTGCAGATACTCAGCCCTCTTTTTTGGTTTTTTCTGGACATCAGCCTTTGGAGAGTCGCAGAACAACGCGTGCCAGTGCAGTTGATGCTTTCAGCTGTATCATATTGGATGATGTTGATGCCAAGCATAGTTCTGATTCTACTCCGCTTGGCTTACAAGTTTCGCAACCTGGCCACAGGGACGCGTCAGCAGCTGATGCTGTCAGTAGGACTGGTAGCCATAGGCGTCCTGCTGTTCGCGACGATGCTGACAGCGGACCGTGCGATTGTGGGCCTCTCGTGGCATCTTTGGCGCGACCAGACTCCGGGCAGTGTGACCGTTTTGATACTTTCGAGCACCCTGAGTGTCTTGCTGTGGAGTTGCTTGCCTCTGATTGACACGCATATCGCTCATCCAGGCATGCAGTGAGTGGCTCGCAATGTGTCGGCACGTCGCGGACAGAAAGCTTTTAACTTTTTAAGATGACGCGATCATCACGTCCCGAGATGTTTTAATTCACAAAACTCAGAACGACCAAGCCTCGCCAGGATCGTCTGCGATGCATGGCTCCGTGTCACTCGCAAAGCACGAAACTCACCTCAAACGAGGTCCGTGTGCACGTTCCCGGGGTGGCGCGAGGGTGAAGCTGCTAGGCTTTCGAGCGTCAAGGCTGTTGTGTTTGTCGGAGATTTTCGGGCTCAAGGAGGCTGGTGTACGGTACAAGCGGACACTGAGCGAAGAGCTATTGGGTCGGATTTCGTTGGGTTTCAGGCTTCGGTCTCTACAGGTGTAAGTCTAAAGCCCTTCCTTTCCAGGCGGCTTTGGCTTGCGCGGGCCAACAGCAACCCGACAGTTCCGAGTTGGATTTAGGTTTCGAGGGGTGACTAAGAGGCTTCTAGTCCTGAACGCTTAGCCCTAAAGCCCAAAGCCCAAAGGCTTCAGAGCTCAGAATCCTAGAGGTTTCCTAGCCTTTCCAGCCATTTGCAACCCCTACACAAACCTTAAACCCTCAACCCCAAACCTAGGCCAAGCGCAGGGCTTAGGGTTTAGGGTCTACAAAGTTCTGCAAGGGTGCTATATGGGTCCTTGTTCTGTTTGTCGGGTTGGGGTGTAATGTAGGCGCCAGAATACTTAGACACAGACGAATGTGCGAGCCTGAGCATGTAGAACAGGGTTTGGGGTACATTGCGGTGGTTTAGACATGTACACAGACTGACGGCGGATCACATGTGATTCCAGCAGAATGCCACCTAGCTCGTGTTGTTAACAAACCCTATATAGCCCGTACCCTGAACCCCGAACCCTAAGCCCTCAACCCTGAACCCCAAACCCCTGAAACCCCCAACCCTAAACAAGCAACACTAATTAACCATCAAACCCTAAACCCTAATTCTTAAGGCCCTTCTTTTCGAATAAGGCCAGGGCTATGCCCCGGAGTGTCGCCGGATGGGGCCATTCGGGCGTTGCCCATGCCCAATCTGAACAAGGCAGGATTTTTAGCCTTAAGGTCCCGGAGGACAGGAGAATCAGGGTTTTTGTGCCGGTGGTACAGTTTTTTTTTTCAGGTTTTTGTGGAGTGTGTAGGGTAGAGTCCGGGCGGAGTAAAGTTGCATTCATGAGTAGAATAGAGTGTTGCGGTATACTATACTCGACTTGAATAGGGACTAGAAAGGGATATTGATACCGATTATTCTATGTTAAGCACAAGGGGCCAGCCCTCGCGACATGAGGGCCTCTCCACGGCGGCTAACAGAAACCCCTACCGAAGGGGGCGTGGAGACGCTTCTGTTAATACGGGGCCTTCACAAGCCGTAGTTCTTCCCTATACTACTTTGGGGGTTCCTTATTGTTTTGAAAATATAATGGGCCCAAAACCATATTCTAATAATTAAGGCCCCCATATCATTGTTGTCTCTTGGGGGCTTTGCAGATGGAGATCGCAAGTTTCGCGTGCATGACGTAGGGGCTTGTTCTCAGGGCTTTCAGTGAGTGCAAGAAGGGCTCCTTCGGAATGTTGGTGACTACGCGTGTTTGTGTCTCTTTTGCAAAAAGCTCTCTCTATATCCTAATTAATTATGTTGTTTGCGGTGCCAGTACCGGCCTTGGAAGCCCCGTCAGCTCGATTGAAGTTTGCGGTTGGGGTATGAGCTAGAGGTTTAAACTTTAGGTGTTTCGGTTCTTGAGCTTTTCGAAACTATAAACCCTAAAACCTAAACCCTAAAAGCCCTGAACGCCAAACCCTGGGCCAGGTTACCCGGAAGCAAGCGCAGGAGTACTTCGACAACTCCTGGACAATGGAGGGGAACTCAGGGGCATTCATTGTCGGGTCGGAATGGTGAACAACACTGTTGCCTCACATGCTCTATGATCAGCATAGTCTCATACATGCCGCTAGCTCAATTCTGATGATTAAGGCTCCTGTCTTATGGCTTTGCAGCTTCAGAGTGTTGAGGGGCATGCCTCTTCCCCGCTCCTCCCCGGGAATTGTGATGCTTTCTAAGGTGCGGGGGTTTAGGGCCTAGGGTCTAGGGGTTTGCTGCTGCTTCTTCTTCGCTTCTGCTTTAGACGTCTGATTTCTATTGCATTTCCGACTTAGTTTACCATTTCTCGTTGCTGTTGATTGTGTTTCCTCGCCATTTGCTTTTTGCTCCTGTCTCTCTCTCTGCTGGACGCTTCTTGCTTTGCTTATTTCGGTGTTTCCATCCGCCAGAGCTTCGCCTTTCGGTTGTAGTCTGTGTACCTGTGGCGCATCCGCCAGCCATTTTTGCTTTTGGCGCTTTTCACTCCTTGTTTCCATAAACTTAATTTGAAATCCATACACTCAACCCTAAGCTACCCAAGCTTACTATTTTGGTATGCTCACTAGAAAGGGTGTATCTTTGTTTGTCTTAGGGTCCTTCAACATCTAGGTTACAGCGGCTTATACTTGTGGTACTCCCTCACCCCGAAGCTTCAAAGCCTTGTGGACGCCCTTACACCCTGTAGGGCTTCGGGCTTAGGGTTTTTTCTGAAATCAAGCTCGGAGCCCCAAAACACCCAAGTCTTGTATTGAGAACCCTATTAAGAAGCAGCTGGGTTCACCTCAACATGGAACCCAAAGCCCAAAGCTTAGGCTTGTATTCAAACCCCCACAAATAGAGCTTGCCGCAACACAGAAAGTTGAAGCTCGACTTCCACGATATCCTGTGGCGAAACAGGACCTTGTGCAAACTGTCATACTCCAAGTCCTTGCCATAGCAGTACTACTGTAGGGCCTAGGAATTCGAGTGTTTCATGATCCTGTAAATTGTTATTTCCCCGTGGCCCGCCACAAGAAAACAGTCAACACGCTCAAAGTCTACAGTCATAGTTTCCGTGGAGCAGGACCCTGCAAGTTGGCATTAAGCAATAGACTGCCGCACAAGAGGATCCTGCAAATTCTGATGGACCAGCGGCTTGCGGCAGAACAAACGCACAGGAATGGTCAGTATATAGGGTACCTTATTTTGGGGTCCTTATAATCAGGATCCTACTTTGTAGGTCCTTATTTTGGGGTCCTAATAATCAGGATACTATTTAGGGTACTAGATCAGGGTCCCCTACTTTATACCCAATAGCTGGCTGCAACAGAGGATCCTGCGAGGCTGCCACGAGTTTGCGGCTGATCGGTCGTCTGCAAATTGTCTTCTATATGGCCGTTTGGGGAACTTGTTATTTTCCCTTATGGTTCCTAAGGAGGAGCATATTCATAAATGCCTGTAAGGGCCCCGAAACTACAACCCAGTCTTTCATCGTAAACCCCAAGACCCCAAAGCTCGCGGCAACAATCCTGCAAGTTCAGCAGGCCGCGAACTCCGGAAAGGCCTTCACGTGCATGACAAAATTTAGGGTTGCACGCTCAAATATCGCGGCGCCCTAACCCCAAAGCCCGAAGCCCCAAATGTGTATCAAGAGCTTTCCTAGGTCGAGGTGCTTTTCGCTGGCTTTCATGGCGAGGACCGAAGAACAGCCATCTGACCAGTAGCAGGGCATGGAGGTTTTGGAGGATCTCAGGGCTTAGACTCCAGGGGGCTGTTCCTCAAGCCTAAATCCTGGAGGATAGGGTTATATAGGTCTCGGGACATGGCATGGTAAAGGTGGTCCAAGAGAACCTATGGTCCTTGAAGTACCCCCAAAGCAAAACACCTCATTCTTGAATTCGTGACTATCCGATCAGACGCTTGGGCTGAGGCTCTCATGTGCCCGTGCCGCTTGTACACCCCAACTCTCAACTCCGAAACCCTTGAACCCTAAAGTCCTAATCCCTAAACCCTGAGGTCTTAATCCTTAAACCCCAAACCCTAAAGTCCTAACCCCTATGAGCGAACCTCGGCGAAGAGAAAGAAGAAGTGCACTTTTTTAAACGTCCTAAACCCCAAACCCCTGGGCTGAAGGACACAAACTCAGCCCGGCAAACCCCAGCTTGAATCGGCCTTTACCAGGAGCCCTTCTACCGTCCTCCGGTGCATGGCGGGATGGCTCAGCTTCTCCTCAGGTTGAGGCAAGAGAGGGCCGTAACTGCTATTATCATCCTTGTCATCATCAGTATTGTTATCATTGTACTAAAGGTATTCGAGGGCCGTAGTTGCTAAAAGCCAGTATTTCAAGTACAAAAGGCCCACTACCTATAGTACCTTGAGTAAAAGCAACCAGTAGGAGTGATGGAATCCAAACAGCAATCAAGATAGCACGAACAAGAACAATAGTATATACGAGTATTAACAACCAAACCCTAAGCCCCGGAGTTTGAAGATCTTATCGATTTAGTGTTTTCGGTTGGGGCTCTAGCAGGGGTTCAGGCTTGAGAAGCTTCAACCCCAAGCAGCTGTACTCCTCACCTAATGGTAGTGGTGGTGGCAGGCAGGACGAAAATGATGCTCAAAGAAAGCGCAACTCCGCCCCAGAGCTAAAGCCTACCTACGCCCTAAACCCTAAATCCAAAACTTTAAACCCTAAACGCCTAAACCCATGAACCCCTAAAACCCTTAAACCCCTGAACCTAAAGCCTAAGCCCTAAACAGGCCCGAAACACCCCAGCCTAAGCGCTAAGCCCCTCACCAGACTTCTGATGAAATCGACTGCCTGAGGTTTGCGGCATCCACAAATCTTTTACTACGGTGGCAGCCTCGGGTTTAGGGTTTAGGATTCAGGTTTTAGGATTTAGGGTTCAGGGTTTAGGGTTGGGTAGTTATAAGTGGGGTTATAAGTCGCCTAATATGGGTTTTAGGCTCTAGGATTTTGGGTTCAGGGTTTAGGGTTGGGTAGTTATAGGCGGGGATACAAGTCCCCTAATATCGGTTTAGGCTTTAGGATTTAGGGTTCAGGGTTTAGGGTTGGTTAGTTATAAGTCCCCTAATAGGGGTTTAGGGTTTATCAATACCCATGAGCCTCCAATTGGTGTCAGGACTGCC